GCAATTTCAATCAGCTAAAAGAATTGATTTAGTGTGGGATGTATACAAAGAGGATTCGCTGAAAAAAAACGCACGGGAGAAGAGAGGCTTTGGTCAACGCCGTAAGGTTTCATCGACAGCACGTATCCCTACTGACTGGAAGGGCTTCCTGCGCGTAGTTGCCAACAAAATGGATCTTTTCAATTTCTTAGCGCAGAAAGTTATTTCCCAGCAGATTCCAGAAGGAAGAGAAATTTACAGTACATTTGAAGAAAAGGTCTTGTGCTTCCCTAAAATAACCGAAGTATCAATGTTGGAACCATGTAATCATGAAGAGGCTGACACACGATTGATGGTGCACGTGTTAGATGCAAGTGACTGCGGCCACCAGAGGATTGTTGTAAGAACAAATGATACTGACGTATTGATACTGGCCATTTCAATTGTGAAAAACATCAAAGCAGAAGAATTATGGATTCTTGTTGGCACAGGAAAGCACTCGCGTTATATTCCCGCGCATACAATTGCATCGACTATCGGACCTGACAAGGCATCTGTTCTACCGTTGTTTCACGCTTTTACGGGGTGTGATACTGTTTCCTTTTTTGGAGGTCGAGGAAAGAAAACTGCATTGGATGTATGGAATGTATTTCCAGAGCTAACATTAGCGTTGCAAGAGCTAAATTTGTTGCCAGAAAGGATTGATTGTTCGTCCTTGCAGGTAATTCAGAAACCGCCAAAGGCATGTATTATCTATCAAATAAGGTCCCTATTATGATTCATATAATGTTTTGCAGGTGATTGAGCGATATGTGGTCCTCTTATACGATCGTACAGGCAATCTCACCAGAGTCAATGAAGCTAGACAAGAGTTGTTTGCCAAAAAGTCCAGAACACTGGATAACATTCCCCCAGCCCAAGAAGCGTTGCTTCAGCACACTAAGTGTGCATTGTTGCAAGGTGGATTTTTCTGGGGGCAGTGCTGCTTGAAAGAGCTGGTTATACCAACTCCGTCAGGTTGGGGCTAGTACCGTGATGAAAATTCTTGGTTACCAAAGTGGACAAATCTCCCTCAAGTTAAAGATGCCTGTTATGAACTTATTCGTTGGGGATGCAAAAGTTCATGTTCTAGTCGTTGTAAATGCGTCAAAGCACACTTAGTTTGTACTCGTTTGTGTAATTGTGGGGGTGATTGTCAAGAACATGTGGGCATTAAAATTATTTTAATATTACTGTTCTTCGTTAGGCGATTTTCCAATGTATTTAAGAAAGAGCAATAGCACTAAACAAAAGTGCTGAGTCAGCACTTTTAAAACACTTTTAATGTAGAATATTTCAGAATGTATTGCTCAAAAGCAAAAGTTGTAATATAGTTTTTCTATCGTCTTTAGCTGTTGTATAAGAATATACAGGGAAATTGCAGATTTGTCTGAACTTTATTTTTTTTACTACCTACGACGTCATCAAACACGACATTCCCAGAACTCGTTTTAAATGTAAAATATGGGCTAGCCCTATATCTAAATTTTGTGTTTCTAGGCATAGTAAGAATTTGAGAAAGTTTCATACTTGTATCATTCAAGTGAAGAATTTTGTCATTAACATCTGGACTACAACATGCAATGCTGTTGGAATAAAACAATCAGCTTGGTGTCGAACTTGGAATCAAAAACTACAGGGTGTGTCAAAAAAATTGGTCGTCTTTGAATTCAGCTGACATTTAGAATTTACTTGATTCAGCAGCAATGATACCCAAAGAGGCGTAAGTGCAAGTGAGATGAAAATACAATTTAACAGATTTTCAAATTTTGTTTAAAATTATACATATGAACCAATAAAATTTGTCGTGACTGTCAAAGCAAGTTATTTTAGTTGCTTTATGATAGCAATTCAAATAACACTTACTAAATGTAGATTTGCCAACAGCAGAAAATGACAGATTACACACTTCTACATTACAAGAAACTGCCATGACGTCATCGAAAAACAGCTCTCTAACAAATGATGACGACACAACATTTTCTAAAAAAATGAAAAGTGCTTTCAATAAAAAAGGCGTTTTATGGCAAGAAAGTCGATTTACACAACTGCTTAAGAGCTTAACAGTTATCTATGCAGTTAAATACAAATACCAAAGGTGGGAAATACTTCAGAAAATGAGCGAAAAATCAGAAACTTTAGTAAATTTAATAATCTTCGTTAACAATCAACAAAACTTTATAACAATTCAAATGTTTTGTCTCCATAGTGATCCCTGTCAGCGTGGTTAATGAGAAGTTGAGAGTTGGTTCTTGCAGCATTGTTCAATAATGCATGCTGCTTATATGTATACTACCATACAGCTTAGTTTAGAAAGTCTGCCAAAATTGTGGGTAAGTTCATAATATACATCTCAAATGCAAAATGTGATTGTTTTACTAGCAAGTATCAATAATAAATAATTAATTAGTTATTAAAATTATTATTTATTAATCTATTAGAATCAATTAAATTACATGAATTAAATAATTAATCAATTAATTAGCGAACTTCATTATCAAGTATCGATACTTTTGGTTGGCTTCCCACAACTTACCGTCAATATTTGGAAAAAGATCTTCTGTGCTTCCACGGCCAATTTGAACGCTGAGCAAATCTAAATTCAAAGAAAGGACATTGAAGACAAGCTAGTTATCTGTAAAAACTAATATTCATTACTTGAAATAAATCTCCTAACACATTCCAGTAACCATTATCCTAATCACATCAAACAAACAAGAATAAACAAGCGCATTGAATTAGGGCGTCTTCATATCACAAAATGAACCTGACAACACTCCTAAAGAGATGATAATATAAGATGCAGGCGTAAATTCGTGTGAATTTAATAATGACAAGATGCTTTAGGAGTCCGTCCACTATATCTTTAAAATTACAATATACGTAAATACATTTAATCCCCATGAAAAGTGCTTGTTATACAATGACGGTATCATCCAGTTTCATACTGTGATCAATGACCATGAACAACAGATGTCGTAGAAATGGTCGCTGAAATCAATTATTTTACAGGCAGTTGAGATGTGGAAAATATGATTAAAAGGTTAGTTTACCACAACACAACTTGTAAGGCCATGTAATCTACGATCACTTCGATCGATATTTCCATTCTTCAAAATATTGAGTTGGTAAGGATGATTAAACTTTGCCTTTGGTAAACTGAAGTCTTTACTATGATACAAACAATCGATAGCAGATTTCACAAACACAAAGTCGTTGTCATAATCATGACTTCGCACATAAAACAAGTTTTGTTCTTGATGTACTAACGAACATCAAGGACAAAGAACAACTCAACTAACGACAACTCAATTTAACTCTGAAGATGATTGCCGCTGAGGTTGTCGAAACGTCGGTCAACATCAACAACATCCTTCTCAGGACTCTACTAACCTGGACGATCTAAATCCACAAACATGTCACGGCAGTTCCTCGAGCATGAACGCTTTTGTCATTTCACGTAGATATTGCCTTTCAAAAGTAATTGAAAACACAAAACATACCTCGTTTATCGAGGCTTTCCAGAGTAAACAAGGTTCTTTAAAAAATGTTTGATTAAAACATTTGGCTATGTTTTTAAGGAGGATAAGTTTAGTTTTCTTCTCGTTATAATCAAAGTGAACAGTCTTTCCTTGATATCTTTAATAGTGTATAATAGCAATGAATCCAGAAAATGATGAGAACTTTCCTGCAACAGTTGTTACTCTTTTACAAAGTAGAAAAATGCTTTAGGCTATTGGAAGTACTAGAAAATAGATTTTATATCTTTTTGCTACAAAACATATTTTAGCATCACTAAAGCTGAAATTAGCAAAGCAGGACAAAAAGGAACTCCACGAGAAACATTAAGTGTTTCTATCCGATGCAAATAGGGATGAAATTAAAGTTTAAAGTTGCTTTCAATTTCGGTGCAACCGCATCCTTCTGCAATTTTTATGTATGTGAAATGAAAAAAGAAACTTACCAAATTCAACAAGCTTTATTGTTCTTTGATCGCCAGCAGTAACATGCTTAGCATAAAATCTAATCAATCATTAACATTAATGACTACACGGTCAATTATGGTCGATAATGAACGTCGTGATTCAGTTAACAAGAAATAAGAACGTATAAAGGGCAGAGAAATGTTGCATAAACGATACATATCTTGTTATAAATGTTATGATTACTATACTTTATTTATAGAAATAGAAATTTAGAAATTCCTTGACTTGCTTTTATATAAAAAAGAATGTAAGAGTTTAAATGGGTTTAATAAATACACATTTGAGCAAATCATAAAGCGAGTTATTTATTGATTATATTTGAATAACATACATTTAGTCAACACAGTGTTTAATGATTACTTCTACAAACGAGTTCTCTATTGTGAAGAAATTATTGAAAAGATCTTATCTTACTTCGAGTATACAACCACGAATGTAAAGATTATTGCATGAGTAATAATTTAATTTAATATAAAATGTTGATGCAATCTTGATTGTGATTAGCTAAGAGCCTACAGATAATTCTTGATGTTTGCTACCCACAAAACATTGAAAATTATCTGTAGGTGACGTAATTACAATTGTGACAACTGTAAACACAAAAAGTATAATAGCAAATATTGCTCGAGATTTGCAAAACGTTTCACCAACTGTTTTCGTTTTAAAGACGTAAAAAACACTGGAATTACCTTGGATTACACTGGGTTATTCTTTCAGTCAGGACAGTTTTCACGGAGTATTTACTGAGAAAAGACAAAAGCGAACAGCAAAAATTATCTAATGTCGAAGCACTGAAAACTTTATGGCTTTAGTACAAATAAGTATGAAAGCTTCGGCATTATTAGTTGCATAATAAAACAATTACTGAATTCAGATTTTGCATGATATCAAGAATAATTCAGACCTCGGTCGACTTTATCCGCCTCAGCTTCGCTTTGGTAGATAACATTGACCTCGGTCTGAACAATTCTTGATATCATGCTCAACCTCATCCAATAATTGTTAATTGTTAAATGTTAACTTGCCATATAAAAAGTCATGATTACACGTCAAACTATGAACATAGTGATGCAGTTGGTAAAAATCGTTTGGTTGTCATCGGAGGTAGTTCTGTCCAAGTCTTTTCTCTCAGATTAATATATTCAACGGAATCAAGATACTCTTCCTCATTCATTCCGCCAACTACAACAATAATACTTTCATCGATAACAGCTGCGCATCCAAATCTTTTATGATTGAGAGGTGGAAGTCTTTTACATTCTTCTGTTTTCAAATCATACATCAGGACAACATCTAATGCTTCACCTTCATCATTAATACCTCCAATCAAGATTGCCTTATTTTCATACCTCACGAAAGCCATGTTACTAACAGCATACGGAAGTGATTTGAGGTTTTGGGATTCTTCAAAAAGCAGACTGTAGGAAGAAACATTGTTTTTAATGTCTACATCTTGATTCGATGTCCTTCCACCAAAAATCAAAACCTCCTCATCCATGATAAACGAGGCATGACAGTATCGTCGCTCTAGCATAAATGTCAAAAAGTTTTTTTCGGGCGGATTTTTTAGTGAAATGGCGTAAATCTCGTTTGACACTTCTGGAGGTCTCATTCTGTTCAGTCCACCGGTCATAACAATTTTCTCATTCCAATAAATTACTTTATGCCCTTTACATGGTTTTGGCATTTCATTTTTAGTCTTTATCCACCCAGAACGTTCAACATTCAGACTTTCCACACTATTACAACATTTCTCCCCATTTGATCCACCGGTTACAAAGATGTTTCCATCATGAACAAACGCAGCAGCACCACCACGTTTCTCTGTCATATTTTTCTCTTCTTTCCAAGTATTTTCAATAATGTTAAATGACTCTACGGACTCTAAACTGCCATTCTTATTTTCTCCTCCACATACTATGATGTCAAATTTTCCTGCGAGAAAATCAGAAGATGATTTATCTTCATCGTGTGAATTGTGTGCAGATGCATTATTTGTAACTTTTCTAGTCAGTCTCAGCAATTCTGTTTGTTTGTCTTTAATTTCATTCTGACCCTCTTGCAACTGCTGGACAGCACTGATAATTTTCGATTGAGTTTCGCTAAGGTTATTACAAAGCTCAGACAAACGATCAACACTTGATTTCACTTGGCCTAAAATTTCATTTTTGGCAGTTTTTCTTTTGAAATCACCTGCGTCGTTTTCAAGTTCCCTCTTGCTTTCATTAACGTCTTCCATAATTTGTCACAGTGAAAACAAAACTTCTACAATATTACGGCAAGCATTTCTATGTTGATAAGAGCGGCGCCGTTAACTAAGATATGCATAAAATATTTTTATTTTGCTAATACCAGGAATTCATGTAAATGAGTCACTGAGAATAAAAGATGCGTGGTTGCTGCACTTGATCAACCACAAAATCGCCATATAATTCTTAGGTTTGACAAGTATGGCGAACAAGGAAAGTTTAGAAAACTCGTTGTGTAAATTGAATTCTCACCTTTTGCAAAAAGGATTCTGTTAGTTTTATAACCAGATAACTAATCTCTAATACACGTCATAATAAAAACAATAACGACTAGAAATGTCCATAAAAATGAACAATTAACGTCAATGGTTACAGAAGACATAAAAATAAGAAAGAATATTCTTGTTTGATTCTAAATGGTATAGTTGCACAATCTAAATATTTTATGCCCTAATCACACAGCACTGCGATCTGATATGTACCACAAACAGTGATGTTTTGTATTGTTGAACGCATTATTTGGTGCATACATTGCTTTCGAAAAACTAATTTTTTTATTTCGTAAACCATCTTTTGCGAGTCTACATCAGTTCTATCTGTTTTCTGTACTTTTCAAAAGTCAGTTTAGAATATTTAGAGCCAGACCAAACCTACGCTCAATAAATAACAAGGTCACGTACAAACTTACATAAATTGCGATTCATCATTAGATGATCAAGAAGCTTGCTGGTCGTAAAATTTTGATTTTCGCTTTGGCTATAGAAATAAATTTTTTCTTGAACTTTTTTATTGTAATTCCAATTAATTGTTACAAAATAGAAATAGTTAGGTATTAACAGAACAAACATTGAAAAATAGAAACGCTATAGCAAGTGTTGATACAGTCATTATCTATTGAACACATGCAGATTTAATATAACGTTGCAACTGATTCAAATTCATAAAACGGAAATACTTTTCATTCCAGACATTATTTAAAAAACTAAGAGAATAACTGCATTTTCTAAAAGATGAAAATTACCATAAATATTCATTCATATTCATTCGTATTGCAAACATGATAGCCAAAGAATGTTAACAAATTACCATTAAACAGGCCATTGGTTTATGCGAATAAATATTAAACATCTCCACTTCTTTCTATATGGATTTTATCTTTGTGAGATTTCATCACATGCCGCACAAGCTTTTCGATAAGCATGGCTTCCTAAAAAGAAACGTACAAACGCCGCTGAAATTTTCTGTATTCTAACAATGGCCATGAAGAGGGGTCAACAAATTTTACATCTATTTACCACAGAATACACAAATTGGAAATCAAGCAACTTAAAGAGCCTTGCATAGATCCATTTATGTTTGTTTGCTTCAGCACTTAAATAATATAACTGGTTCTCTACTCACAGCATCGACACCAAAGCTACACAAACTTTCGTAGTATTTAGATCGGATGAAATTCATTGCACGCAAAACAGTACCCTATAAATGCGTAACGCAGCGAATTCAAACAACTTGTTTGCCAATAAGTTGTACAAGGCTGAATGCACGAATAAACTGTTTCCCTAAGTTTACGTAAATAAGGGTTAATTATCAAATGCTGGCCATAATATTTCAGATAATAACGATTGAACATCAATATGTTGGTTATAGTGATGCAGTTGGTAGGAATAGTTTGGTCATCATCGGAGGTAGTTCTATCCACTCTTTCTCTCTCAGATCAAGATATTCAACTGAATCAAGATACTCTTCATTATTCATTCCACAAACTACAACAATAATCTTTCCTTAAATGAAGATATGATCATTAAATAAAGATATGATCTTCGCACTTTGCTGGACAATTTAAGCAATTGTCTCATGAACCTGAAAAATTCAGGTGACTCACACAGTGGTGAGCATGTAAATTTTGTTGGGCTAGTGTTTTCTCGTGAAAGGAATGTCATATGGAAGAAAGTTTCAAGTGTGACTTCATAGCTCAGTTGGTCAGAGCACTGCACCGGCACCGCAGAGGTCAGGGGTTCGAATCCCGTTGAGTCACCTGAATTTTTCAGGTTCATGAGACAATTGCTTAAATTGTCCAGCAAAGTGCGAAGATCATATCTTGATTTAATTTCAAGCACTGCACTGCATAAAACATTCTTTCATAAAACATTCTTTAATAATCTTTCCGTCGATAACAGCTGCGCATCACATCTTTTATGATTTGGAAGACTTTCCCATTCTTCTGTTTTAAATTATTTGTCAAGATATTATCTAATACTTCACCTTGATCAATACTTCCAATCAAGACAGCCTCATCTTCATACTCTATTAATGCCATGTTGCACACTGAATATGGTAGTCGCTTAACAATTCTCATCATACAGGCAATATAACATGATTTATCATTTATAAACCTTAGATGATTCGAATACATTGATTGTCGTTTTCAGTTTTTTAAATAAATGTATACATTTTTTCCATAAAAGAAAACGAACATTGTAAGAAAAAGAAGTATGGTTTTGATTCATTTATCAGTTTGACATAATGCCTCTGTCATTAACCTTTTACAGTGATGTTACTTTTCTCGTAAAAAGAAATAGCAAACAGTAAGCTAGTCAACAACTAAAATAGAATAAAGAATATATTTAAATTGATATAGAAGAGCTCAATACAACTTATCTGAGAAACAGGAGACAATGACAAATTTACACGACTACATTCCAATTAATTTTGCTGACTTCTTATCTTACCAGAATACATACTGAATGAATTCGTCAACTTCCTTTTATACTAAATAACAATCTTCAGACCATGCTTAACTATCATGCAAAATATCATGCAAACCTACAATAACGATATATATGAACAAGTTTGAGATCATTCTTTTACGCAGTTCGTAAATATGAACTTCCTAAACCTCAATATCGGGAGCTAGTTTCTTTTGTCATATGAGCTATACATGCTCATAGTCATGCACATAACAGCGAGTATAACTTGCAGCTGCAAGCCTTGTGGTTAACTATTATGCCAATATTTATGCTATGCTGAAGGTAGGTAGGTTTCCAGTAAAGTATTGTAAGGTTTTCTACATGACAAAGTTTACATACAAAGCAATTTACACTGATATTCATACGTTCCTTTAGAAATCTAAAAAGCCAGGAAGATTTTTCCGATAGTCTAGTTAACTTACATTAGCCCACCTTGCAGTCCCTGAAAGATTTCAAGATACCTCTTTAAATATTTTTAGCAGTCTTCTAAGTAAACTCGGGAAATGAAACAGCTCTAATGAATTTCACATTTTATGGAAAAATACTTAACGAATTTGTTAATTGCAGACACTGAACGTTATATGTTAAATTTGAATACATTATGATAGTTTTTATCACAGAATGTCATATTGTAATTTGGCATCAAAGAGCTATTTTTGGAATGTTAATAAACCGTTATTCTTATCATTATCATACTATCGTATCAATCAACAGCCTGAACTGGCAGCTTCATATCAGCGAACTCGTCTTCAACCGTCGCATTAACCGTTGAAACGATAATTTTAGGACTTTCAAATGTTTGAAGATACGGACATGTGTTCTAAAAGAACTGCCATCTTTTGTGGTTCAAACAATCCTTAAGAGTTGAGGAAAAATAGCTGTATAATTACTCACCTGCTATGTTTTGTTGATGAAAGACCAGAATTCAACGTAAGGTTAAACTTATGCTACTTCATTATGCAGAAGGCCATTTTGTCGAAATGAAACTATGCAAACTTTCACATGAATCCCTTTTATCTACGCCAGCAAAATTATTAATACAATATTTAATATGACCGGTTTTATATAATACATGATCAATACTTTATTACAATATGTATAACTTGTGCAATATTATCCGAAAACTATCTAAAGTCATAAAGCAATCTCGTGTGCTATCTTGTACAAGAATTATAACTAATGCACTGTTTGCAATATTTCTTTAAGTTCAAAATACTGTAGAAACCATGCACAGAGTAAGTATAGCAATAAATATGTTTCCTCCTAAAACAGTTTTTGATGGAGAAAGTTAAGTGCATTGTTTTGTAAATACGAATGTCTGATTATACGAAATGTTAAATACTGGTAAATGATAAAATGTCTTCTTCTTATTTTCATTCCTACGCCTTGGACTGTCTTCAAATAGTGGTAGTAATGCAGCAGTGGGATAATATCGTTTAACCTTCATTGGCGACAGTTCTTGCCATGCATTTTTGCTTAGATCAAGACATTCAACAGAATCAAGACATGAATCATCGTCTTGCCCACCAACCACAACAATGATATTCCCAGCGATGACTGCAGCATCCATATCTTCTATGATTAAGTGAAGGAAGCCACTGAAATTCGCCTGTATTCGCGTTATAAGCCCAAACTTTATTTAGCACTTCACCGTTCGCAAGGACACCTCCAATCAAGATTGCATAACCTTTATAGGATACTACAGCCATTTCACTCACAGGATAAGGAAGTGAGGATAAGGTTCTCCATTGAGCACTTGCAATGCTATATGCATAAACGGAATCTTGGATGTTGTCGTTGGATGTTCTTCCACCAAAAACTAAGACTTTATCATCAATGATAACTGAGCCATGATCGTGCTTCGACTCTGGCATGTTCCTCAATTTATCAATTGTAAATGGAGATTTCATTGACATGCTATACATTTCATTAGACACTTGGGGAGGGTTTGAGCTGGAATTTCCACCTGTCATGAAGATCTTTTGACCAAAAACAACAACACCATGTCCTACACATTTTAACGGATTCTTGATATTGATTTCTACCCATTCTAATCTTTCTTTATAGCGACAACGTTCTACGGTTTCCAAGAGCTGACTGCCGTCTGTCGATCCACCACCAACAAACATATCACCACCACAGACAAACGCAGCAGCACCACAACGCTTCGTCGTCATTTTAGCTTCGTGTTTCCAGGCATTTATCTGCCAGTCAAACGATTCGACGGAATTCAACCAAGCGTCTCCATCATGTCCTCCACACACGATCAGCATAACCTTCCCGGTGAGGAAGTTAGACCTTTCTGTTGTTTCTTTCCTCCAGGATTGCATGTCTTCTACACTCAGCCTCAATTGATGTACATCATGCCACATGGATAATCTTCGACCCAATTCCTGGAGGGTCGTGTCCAGATTTAGTTTCATTTCTTCTTGATTTTGGACAACTGTTGAAAATTCTTGTTGATAGACTGTCATCATGTTCGTCATTCTATTCTCCATGTTCGTCAGTATATGTTCGTCTATCGTCTATTCTCCATGTTCGTCATTCTATTCTCCTCTTGACTAGAAAATACTTGACGAAGTATATTGATGATTTCGTTTGATTGTTGATCAGCCATTGATATATCTTATGTTACTGTACAACTTGCTCTCTTTTTATAATACTCAAGACACTCTTTTTAGAAGCACTTCGTTTTTGATGTGATAAATACAAGTTTAAACTCTTATTTCTTAATTGTTGGAATCAAAACATTTTCCTTGTTCATCAAGCGAAGGCGGTAATTACGAACATTACGTGCATAAAATATCTTAATATTTCTAATACGAGAAATTTATGCAAATGATAAGCTGTTAAACAAAAAATCAAACAATTAATAATACTTGTAACGACAAATTTACGCAAAGTTTAAGTTCAAAGAGAATTTGAACCGTAAATTCACTTCTTAGATATACATGCATTAGAGAAAATAAAAGTAGTCATGCACGTCAATGATTTTGAGTTTGCTTTAATGTTTGTCTTAATTGAAATGGATAATTCCTGAGCAAAAAATTATGACATGTGAAGAAAACTGCGAGAATAATAGTAAACACCACAAACAATGATATTTTGTAACATGTAAATCCATTCCACAAAATGTCTTTACAAAATTAGTTTCATTTTATGAACAACATTCATGTAGATTTTGCACGTCTACATCTGTACTTTTTATAAGCCAATTTCGCAAAATTACATTTAAACCTAACTAAAGCCGACTAATAACTGTGTCACAAATAGGAGGCTAACTTCAAAGTACCGAGTTTACACACATCATTAGATGATCAAGATGCTTGCTGGGCGTCTAAAGCAAATGAGTTTATATAAATTTCGCTTTGGTAAGGAGTATTCTAAACGATATTTAAGTAAAGTGCACGCCGTCAGTCTTGAGTATCTTCCCTTTTACATCAATATTTAACTATAAGCAATATGCCGATGTGTCTATCTCATTCAGAATTATTTTTCTTGTTAGTATTCATAAATAATGCCAATTAAAGAATGTCATGTACATACGTATATGTGACTGTGTTAAATGACGATATTCATGATTCCGCTTACACGCTATGAAGTTGATTATATGAAATGAACGTTCATTCACGCAAATTTGCCGAAAACTAGAAATGTTTATCAACTGAAGCAACATTTACAACATATATCCTTATCAAAGCATATAGCATATTTAATACTCACACAAACCACATTTTGTTAGATGATATTTTGTGCCGAAAAATACAAATTATAAAATTGCAAGCATAGCATTTTACTTTGCTAAACAATAGAGATTTACATATTTACATATGTGCAGAAGAATAAAGAAATAGGCAAGAAATGAGTAAGAATTAGTTTTTTAACAATTTCCACAGATAGATATACTTTAATCTTTACCGGAAAGATCATTATCAACATTTTTCGCTTAAGTGAAGCATTTATATGAAACAACAAAATTGAAATAGATGAGTCGAAAACCACTTTTGTAATTAGTCAATTTTCGAGGTCTCCTGTTTCCTATAAGTTAAAGTGCTTATATAAGAAATTTTAGCCCCTCTCCTTTCTTTCCTTAGATATTTCGAAAATGTGCATTCTTTGAAGAACTTTGACATGCCGATGGACTTGAACAGTAAATAAGTTTCATATTGCTTATATACATAGACATATGTCATATACATATTGTTTATAGTTAATAACTTTTGTAATTAGTCAATTTTTGAGGTCTCCTGTTTCCTATAAGTTAAAGTGCTTGTATCAGAAATTTTAGCCCCTCTCCCTTTCTTTCCTTAGATATTTCGAAAATTTGTATTCTTTGAAGAACTTTGACATGCCGATGGACTTGAACAGTAAATAAGTTTCATATTGCTTAATACATAGACATATGTCATAGACATATTGTTTATAGTTAATAACTTTGTAATTAGTCAATTTTCGAGGTCTCCTTCCTATAAGTTAAAGTGCTTATATCAAAATTTCAGTTCCTCCCCTTTCTTTCTTAGATATTTCGAAAATGTACTCTTTGAAGAACTTTGACATGTCGATGGACTTGAAGAGTTAAAATAAGGTCATTAATTTAGACACCGAAGCTGGGTATTATTTTGAACTTTGTACGACTAACATCGAAAGTAGTGACCATTGAACGCGTGGAACCTGTAAGAAAAACCCTCATAATTTTTGAAGCCAAATTTTAAACCCAGACACGCGTGTGTAGTCAATTTCACTAAATCTCGGAACGCTCAACGCTACCTGTAAGAAAAACGCTACATGGAACGCTACCTGTAAGAAAAAACCCTAATAATTTTTTGAAGCCAAATTTTAAACCCAGACATGCGTGTGTAGTCAATTTCACTCCGCGAGAAATCTCGAAACACTACACGCTGTCTGTGTAATCTCGCGTGTCTGGGTGTAAGATTTGGCTTCAATTTTTTGCTTGTGACGTATTGATAGTTGAACGCGTCTGCTTCCGGCAATATAACATTATTTATAATTTATAAACATTAGATGATTCGAATACTTTGATTGTCATTTTTATTTTTTTAAATAAATTTATACATTTTTTCCATAAAAGAAAACGAACATTGTAATAAAAAGAAATATAGGTTTGATTCATTTATCAGTTTGACATGATCAATGTCTGTATCCATTTAGTAGAGCCATAAATCCAAAAGCTATGTCGTAAAATTGAGTCCCGAATTTTTTACATTTGTGTACGATGACGGAAAGCTCGCTGAAGATGGTGACGCTTGTACTCCAGACGATCGTGATGACATTTTTGGGCAATGTTACAGCAACAAAAAGTTTTCTTCAAATCCTCTTTTCAGTTGAACTTGTACACTCAAGTTTGGGTAGAAACATGAATTTTTAAAATCTTCAGAACAAACATATGAGGTCGAGAAAGCATCTAAGTCCCTGCAGTCAATGTTTACCACTAAGTTTATCCATTTTTTCGTCTTTCCACTCGTTTTCTAAGTCACTGGCGCAACTAACTATAGATTGGATCTGCCAGCAACACAACGTTTTTTGTTTTGATTTTCGCACAATGCATATGAAGTGCTGGTTTATTGCTCATGAGACTTCACTCGAACAATGGGACAACATTTTGACAGTTACATTTAACATTTCAATAGGATATTTACAATGGTCTGAGCACGATTTCACGATACGGAGTTCCAAACGTTGGTTCTTCGCAATTTGGAATATTTGAATAAGTAACGTTAGCTAAGATTACGGACAACCGTCAATCCTAAACTTGAACTTTTCCAAAGCTTCAAGGCCTGCATGATATCATAACACCAGGAAACTAGCTGTGGACAGAATTGTAAAAGATTACGGGGGAATCCATTAACCATGGTTGTATTGTAATCGAATAGTATCGGTGCTGTTGACTGATACTAGACGTGTTAGTTATCACTGATAGTTCCGACTCAGTCGCTTCAGTTCTATTCAGTTTTGACGATAATGGGACATTGGTAGATAATATGTTTATACGATTTAAAATGTTTGTTGGTGCTGTTTTGTTCGATCTTCTACCTTTATGTCGTGCCGTTGATGATTCTCTACCCTTCTCTCCAACACCTTTGTCACTTTCACATGTAGTTAAAGTTGTTGAATTTATTCTATTAGTGGGTTGCAACCATCCCCCCTGGGAGTAAGAAAACAATGGATGCTTTCATGTTGAATGAAATTTGCATTTTAAATAAGGAAAATCCTTTCTTAAAATCATCCAACATAGCGACTATGACGTAGCTTGCAACCCAAAAATTTGAATTGTTTCTCTTGCACCATTCAATTAAAGATACTTTGACGTTGTTTTTGTTTTTTTTTTTCATCGACAGCCAACGAGTGAGCGTTATCTGTAAGTTTACACATTATGTCGTCGTAACATAATGTGGACATAACATTGCAGTATTTTCAACCACTAATGCCTTACTATTAGGGACCGGTAGCACGAAACCTGGACAGCGTTTCCTTTGGATAGCGAAAATTTTCAAACTTGTAAAAAAGGTATTTGTATTTTTCTTACAAAAAAATATTTTAATCTTCGAAAAAATATTTTTTTTCAGTACTTGCACAGTTCAAATTATAAGTTTGAAAATTTGTAATCCAGGCATTGAATACATAAAAGATAAAAGTTTCTCCGGATTTTAAATGATTTTTATTGAGCTTTCGACCCGTTGCTTCGAGCCTTCATCAGAATGAGGGTATTTATTTACACGTGCTTTTAGCTTGGAGACGTTTAGAGCGTCTAATTGGATGATTGGGTGGATTAAAGTGATTGGATGGGGTGAAATGCGTTGCCATGGGTTTTGGTGCATTGTGAATATGATCAGTGTTAAGAATATTAGAGTGTAGTGTTTTAGTTTTGGTGTTGTTTGTAGTTTTTATGTCCTTTTCCTTTAGTTGTGAGTATATGATGGGTATGTCGATATGTCTGTTTATTGTGTCGTTGTCTTTACTGTACCAAGCTTCTTTAAATTCGCGTGCGTGTTTAGTCTGTGCGCGTCCGAGTACTTTAGTTTCTGTCCAGTCGAATGTGTAGTTGTTTCCATGGGTATGTTCTGCCGGTAGTTCAAATTATATATTGTTTCCATCAGAGATTTTATAAACGTTTAGAAAAATTTGCTATCCAGTGGATAGCGCTATTCGGCCTTCGTGCAACCAGCCGCAGGTGATTAAGTTGCAAGTGTGATTGCGCCATCATGTGCGATTGCGTTATTAAGATGTTTTGGCCTTCTGTGCTATGTACTGCATCGTCGTTGGACTTATGCAAGTAATTCCTTCAGTTTCCAAATTAACTGTCAATCGAACTAGTCTATTGACTTAAAATGCTATCTGATTCTAAGACTTTGGGAGTACATCACCATATTTCATTTGCACATGATTATTTCTCAATAAGTAAACAGATGCATTAGAACGTTTGTTCATCCAGAAAAGACCAGGGTGTAACATTTGGGCAAAGATCAAAGCTGAAGATCTTGCAAACAAAAAAAATCAAATTGCTGCTCAGTATTTCTCATTGCTATGTAAGTGTAAACAGAATTGTTGACATCCGATATATGATTGGAAATACCTTACATGGACTTTTTAGTCGATTCCGCGTTTTATCCCCATTTGCAGAATACACTTCCGCCATTCCGTTCCGCATTCCGTAATATGATTCCGCGCTTAATCCCTACCCAAAATTTTCGTACTGATAGGCCAAACAAGATGCAATTGATATTTGCAAGCAAACATGCTTGCAAAGCCTGAAATTTGCATTATAGATCATAAACTTTTTAGTAATGGCTCTTTTTCATTTTTTGTGAAATATTGTGAAGACTGCTATATTGGAGGTTGAGAATAATATGAAGAATTATTCAGACCGAGGTCAATGTTAAATGCCGAAGCGAAGATGAGGCTTTTTCACCCTGCCTGTATCACTAACACACAAATTCTGCTTCTCCGATTTTCCCTTCTTATAAAATATTCTTTCAATTTTTTTGTAACTGGTGGTGCTAAACTATAATATATTTTCATTCCCTTATGTCTTTTGGTGGGCTTTCTATCGGCTTCGTTATTACGTAGATTGTCAGCTCGATATTTCCATACAAATCAATAGTCAGTGGGTTCTGTCATTCGGTGTTCTCTTAAAAAATCTAGTAAACTTAAGCCCGGTTTCCATATGATCGTTTCTGTCGTAAGGATCGTCTTTGTCGCTTGCAATGTAGAAGCGACAGAGGCGATCATATGGAAACGCTCAACTCAAACGACAAAAGCGATCCTTACGTTAGAAACGATCCTTGCGTATCGATCGTTTGAGATAGACTAGAGTTCTATCCTTGCGACAGAAACGACCGGAAACACCTTTTACGCGCTTGCATTTTTTTAATGGAAACCGGTGCAAAACGATCGTTACGCCAGAAGCGACTTGATATATCCCATGATACATCCGTAATTCCATGTGCGAGATTCCGTATTCAAAGATGGCGGCTATCAACTTTAATTCTACGTCTTCATTTATGGAAGAAGTACAGAAGTATGATTGTTTATATAACAAATTTTCGAAATATTAAACCCAAAAACGATGTTTTCTTTTTTGCTTTCGCTCTCTCCTTGTTCTCAGCACACGCAAAAGAAAATAACACGCTACAAGTCTTCCTCTTCGATTGACTGCCGCCATTTTGAATATATCATACAGTAAGTGTATGGTGACTAGTTCAAATTAGATACGATGCATACGATTAATGGAAATCAGTTCATCGCAATAATCGCTTCTGTCGTTTGATCACCGCAGGGGACTTTTTTCAACAGACAGAAACGACTCTAGCGACAGAAACGATCATATGGAAACCAGGCAATAAAGGCGTCAGGAACGAAAAAATGTACATTTTGAATTTTAAAATTCTAATACAAGTCTGAAACTGCAAATAATTTAATACGTATGAAACCAAATGTTTGTTTAATATAAAAAATAGATACGATAAACTAAATACTGGCTTCATACAATATTTAAAGTTATAACATGGTGTTTTACATAAAAAATATAAGTAAGTACACAAATCGTTACTTCAGCCACAAGTTATATTTAACTGTTTCGAGTATCTTAGATCGATATCAATAGCATGCAATACTAATTCAATAAAGTATAAACGAGGACCAATTAATTAACTAACGAAGTTCAATTTTGAAATATAAAACCTAAACCTACATAAATTTTACATATTTTTCAATTTTCTAATAATTAATTTTTCAAAATAAAGAATTTACATAGCTAATTGGTAATCTACAAATTAATGAACCAACTTACGTCACCTTTTCTCTTGTAACTGAAGAGAAAAATTGGCGGCGAGACGAGATTTCGACAACTTTGTTTTTGTGTTTGGATTTACGCCGCCATTTTTCTCGCGACTTTTGGCCGTGTTATGAGAAGCGGGTGTATTAAGTTCGTCAAAACATGGACTTTTTTGATCGGCTTTTAAACCAACAGAAGCCCCTTTCTCAACGATGGAGTTCGCGTGCGTTTCTTCTTCAAGTGAATGCTTTTTTGCTTCTCGCGAGTTTTTGATTTTATAATCTTCAGTTCGACATTTATGATAGCATTTAGAACAAGACTTACTTGATGTAGATTTTTCAACAACAGAATATGACAAATTAGACACTTCTACGTTACCGGGAACATCCATGACGTCATTGAAAAATGACTCTTTATCAGATGATGACTGCACAATAACATTTTCTAGGAAAAATGAAAAATGGCGTTTGAATGAAATTTCGCTGGAAAATAATGTTACATAACTGCTTGAGTGCTTACAGTTATACATGAAGCTAAACAGAAGAACAAATGATGAGAATGTTATGTTTTACTTTAAATTTCCTCAGCTTACCATCAATATTAGGAAAAACTTCTTCGGTGCTTCCACCGACAATTCGTACGCTAAGCAAATCTAAATTCAAACAAACGATTTTGAAGAGGATAACCTAAGTTAGTAAAAACTAATATCCGATACTTGAAATCAATCTACACAATGTAGAAACTACTAAGTCATTTTCCTCTTCACCTCTCCTGACAAACAAGAATACTCATAGCATTCTTATGTACAGACTACATTGCGAACCAGTTCGAAAGCACTTTTCAACAAGAGTAAGCAAAGTCAAAAAATTGGACGAATTTGCATGAGGATGTTAATATTTGATCATATTGCACGATAATCATAAACTGTAAAAAAATCAAGTGTATTTAACTTGTGTGTTTTTACATCACAACCTGTCCTAAAGAGATGATAGTATGAGATGCACTCGATCAAAAAAATTTTTTACAAAGAAATGCAACAGATGCAGTCACGTGAGACACTCACCGTTTGCGATACGCTCAGGGATGGATCGGTCCACAGCAATGATAAATTTCTCTGGACCGCTCCCGGAAAGTCTTGCGACATGAGGGACGGCATGGACAAGAGAGAACAGCTTGGAAAAACCATACTCGGATACGATACAGGGTTTGCCGTAAAATTTGTTGTACGCGGGAGCAAAACGACAAAAAGATAAACATCCATCATTGGCGCGAAGAAGGTTTTGTGTTTCGATTTCAAAACGGGCAATAGGAGATAATGAAATACGAACGACATCAGCTTCTACGGAGTTCATCTGAAAAAGCAAAAAGTTCTTTTGAACAAAATTTCAATGAACAAAAGGCGTAAACTTGTGCGATTTTGCTAATGGCAAGATACTCTAGAAGTTCATGGCCCAAATCCTAAAATTACAATGCATGTAAATAACGCTGTAACAATAACATTTCTTGATTGTGAGCGTTTCTAATAGTCAATGAGATAAGTTATTCTCAATTTTCCATATGTAGGCTATGTGCAAAACAATTCAAGTATACCTCAAGTGATCCATTTAAACTATTTTCAATATCCGTGAGACGTGTAACACCATGAGCTTCTAAATTCAATCCTCTCCCAAAGTGCTTGTTGTATAACGATGGTATCTCATCCAGTTTCATACTGCGATCATCGACCACAGTCAACAGATGTCGGAGTTCTTCAACCAATAAACGAATACAAGTGGAACGCCTTAATAAAACCGTTTCATCCGCTCCAACCGCATGAAGCTAAAGGAAGTAGAGTTTGCTAAAGTTACGTGTTTTCATTGTAATTTTTATGACAGAATAACTACAGATTTGCAAAAAGATTTTATGTTTACAGTACAAACACGATCAAATGATTTTTCATGGGATATGAAACAAAAAATTTACTACTTAAGTTATACCTTCGGTGTAAAGACATTTTTTAAATGACAATGGAGTTTCTATACCATTCACGCATGTCTCAGTCCATTCTCGAAATAAAGAAGCGTATGTTATTTCAGAATTATCTAACTTGTTATGTCACATTGCATGAGAACTAGAATTATTAGGTATTTGCTAATACGTTACTTCAACAGAGCAGAGTTAATTGTAAAGAGGTAATGGTATAAAATGCTAGCAAATGGTTTCAACTTTAAGTTGTCAGAAAAATGAAGAGTATTTAAAACACTGCGGCAACTCAATATGACGTAACACGTTGGATAAGCCGGAAATAACAAAAACTTCAATATCTCGAGAATGAAAAGAAACGTGCATAAACTGTTTTAGAAAGTACACTTTCAATTTAAAAGTTCTGTTCTAATGGAAACATAATTGAACTCGCAAAATTTTCGTTTCATATGCACATTAAAGGGTCGCTCAAATAAATTTCTGCATGTAAACTGTGAAAAACAAGATTTAAAGATGAACTCACCACAACACAACTTGGAAGGCAATGTAATCTACGATCTTTTTTATCGATATTTTCATTCTTCAAAACATTGAGTTGGTAAAGATGATTGAACTTTGCCTTAGGTAAACTGAAGTCCTTACTATGATACAAAACATCGATGGCAGATTTCACAAACACAAAGTCGTTATCATTATCATGATCAGGATGAGTGAAAACACCGACGACTCTGTCACTGCCAACACCTCGAACCTAAAAAAAAATCTGGAATTTTCCTCGATTTTCTCGAGCAAAAATGATTTTGTCCCTCAAAACAATTTTTTAAGCAGATCAACACATACCTCTAAAGGTTTATCTAAGCTTTGCAAAGCTTTCTCGAGTAAATCATGTTCTTTGAACAATGTTTGATTAAAACGATCATGATAGAGTTTAGCTATGTCTTTAACGAGGATAAGTTTCGGGTCTTTTTCTTTAATCAAAGTAAGCAGTCTTTTCTTGATATCTTCAACAGTTTGTGATGGAGATTGATCTGGAGTATCAACAGAAGTTTCCTTCAACCGTTGTTTCTCATCTATATATAATATGAAATTGGCCTTAACAAAGAAATACTACATAACACGTTTTAGAGAAAAAATTTTTAGGATAACTATAGTTCTTTCAAAGATTAAATAGATTTAATCTATTTTATCTAGATCATTTTCAATGGTACTATTCATGATTTCACAAATATATTTCGCATACACTTAAATCGCTTATATGAGCATCAGGGAAATAACTTCTTGAGATAGTTAAAATCGGATTTAAAAACATTTTCAATATATTTGATAGGACAAAAATTTTATTTTCATTGGTTTTTGTGGACAGGAAGTAGGTGAATTCCCACCGGATGTGACGTAAAAAGGAGAACACATGCATTGAAGATATAGCTTAAAAAAATACAAAATAGCAAACTAATGAAAAAAAGTCAAAAAAGTGAACACAAAATAACTTCATAAAAAAGATTCCCTGTTTCCATCCAATACACTCATGGAAAGAAACTATAACATCGTCAACTGTCAGTGCATGTCGTTATACCATGCAACTGCCATGCTATTCATATAGAAAAAATCTTAAGTATTATACTTTAGATGCTAATGTTTGTACCATCTCACATTCTCATACCACACTTAGACACGAAATGTAGCGTCCATGTATTACTTCATTTACATCAAATTGCATCAAACTGTTAGTACAATGATCATATCATGCAACTGCCATGAATATATAATGAAAAGAAAGACTTACCAAATTCAATAAGTTTTACTGTTCTTTGATCACCAACACCTTCGATCTGATAAAAATATAAATAGACTACTTTATGCAGAGGTTTAAAGGAATGCAAACAAAACGAGTGATCGTAGCAAAAGAGTTCGTTTTCAATCCTTCTCAAAGAGGGCAGAATATAAATCGTACAAACGAACCAACCATGATGATGTTATTTTTTGTTATACAAGCATTGAATTTTAGATTACGGTGAAAGATGTTGCTCAAATGATATACATGCACAATTCAAACGTTTCAAAATAATTACATAAATTGTATCAAAAAACAAAAAAGAATTGTTCATGATGACAAAATACTTCTTCCATCTTTTGAAGATTAGCAATATAAAAGGCAATTTCTTTCTCACAAAGAAACTAAGTTCGTATTCTCCGTTGTTATTTTATCTTTTGAACGGAAATAATAAATTCGCTAGGATATTCATTATAAGTTGCTTGACGGAAATATCCTCAATGCATCGGGATTCGTGTTAAAACGATAAAAATACTTGAAGAAGTCTAATGTCCTGCTGTGTTTTTATTTTTCTGGAATTTGCTTTCAATATGTTCTCTTTAATTTAAATGCTGTCCACAGCCATCGGCGGTGAACGTCAATATGCAAATTTTTACAATGGAAAAATTACGTACGTCCAATAAGAATGCAGATACGACGTTTTCCACCAGTGAAGAATTTCGTAAGACCAATCAGATCCTCGGAAATTTTAGGCATATGATTTTTATAACACTATTTCATCGCGCGAAAAGCTCAATTTTGGCATAATAGAAATATTTACGTCTCTAAAAGACAGGGTGAAAAGTGCATTAAATTTTACATGCGATCATATTTTTCAGCCAAAAATTCACAAAATCACGATCCTTTCTTTATAGTCCTGTCTGTAATGGCAAATAATTGCTAGCTTTCAAAGCTAGAGGAGAACAAAAAAGTAGCCAACAACAATTTGCAGGTTATTCGTAAAATTATCATTTGTTTTATTTCAAAGTAAATTAAATTTTTGCAGTGATGTATTACCAACGGTGCGTCAAACGAAAGCTTTAACACAGGCAAAATAAGAAATTTCCCTCAAAAAAAGGTGACTACATTGCAATTTTTCATTTTTTCACTGGTGTAACATAAAATGGTAAAAGTATTTCGTCTCAATTTTTTCTATGCCACAATATTTAACTTTATCCACCATAATTACATCGCCCACACACCAGCGAAATTAGTTGGAACTGGGGAGAGTACAATAATTAAAAATTGCTTTACTTTTGTTAATTTTGAAGTCATTGAGTGTTGTAAAATAACTTAAAAAATTCTGCTTGTAGATAATTTGACAGGGGTATGAGGTGAATGATAGATCCATTTACTATTTTGAATATTGACTAAAAGTTCGTCAAAATACGCTGTTGTGACTATCTTGTAGCAATTGATTTAAAATTGCAAAACATAAGCTTCATAAAATTTGATCATTTGCATGCAGATCATGTGAGCCTAAGATAATCAAAACTGCAAGTTGTTTTCATACGAAAAAAAGTTAAAGATAAAATAACAAAGAAAAGTCACTATGGGCGAGCTGTTGAAAGCGATTTGGCTTTTTGAAGAAATCAGTCGGAAAAAATTAATATGTGAATATCCACACTCCCATCCCCAAGAAATGTTCTAACTACGGTCCTGTGTACGCATTCCGTAAATATTGGTAGCTGGGAAGCGCAAAGCGCTCGAACAAGTGGATCTTCGGTCAGTTGAAGGTTCTATGACCCTGACTTGAGGCAAAATGCTTTAAGTGTTTTTTTTCTTATTCTAAGAACTTGCTTGTTTGCAATGTTTCACTTCCGTGGCAACAAAAATTTTCGAACACAGCAGCGACTATAAGGCGCGTGCGCAGCGCCTACCACAAAAATATCAGTGCACATACCTCTGCAACACTTGGAAATGCTTTAATGAGATCCGGGAGACGATTATAGCCAAATGAAGATAGTGTGAATTTCTTTCCAAAATGCTTGACATAGGAAGCCATAAAGTTAGAAAGTAGAACACTGCAACATGGCTGATGACTCAACAAATCAAAAACTTCTTTCTTAAATTGGTCCACGCGCAATTCGCGAAGTAAGTGAACGTGTTTTCCAGTGGTATCTTCTTTCGTCTAAATTTAATTGAATTTCATATGAATGCAAGTCATAAAAACACATGTACATACTTAAGCCTTGTGTACTCCAAAATAGTGTATTCATCAAGAGAGATGCTGAAACTTGAGTCCTTATATACTCCAGTCTAGTCTCTTCATCAGGAGTGACCTGATGTTGAAACTTGAGTTCTTATATACTCCAGTCTAGTGTCTTCATCATGAGTGATCTGATGTTGAAACTTGAGTTCTTATATACTCCAGTCTAGTGTCTTCATCATCTGATGTTGAAACCAGTACTAGTAGTGTCTTCATCAGATCAGAAACTTGAGTCTTATATACTCTAGTGATGTAGTGAATGTTGAAACTTGAGTCCTTATATACTCCAGTCTAGTGTCTAAAAAATTTGCTATCTATTAGATAGCGATATCCGGCTTTCGTGCTACCGGCCCCTGATGTATAAACTAGACGGATAATATACTACCATAAAAACAGAGAAATGAAAAATAGTATTTACAGCAGAACAAATAATGTTAAATGAACGATAAACCAAATGTAAATTTATAGTTTTTCCACTTAATGTATACATTGTTATACCTGCAAAATACTGGACATAGAATGCAAGAGATCAGAAAGGGAGTTGAAACCAAATAAGGAAGGATCTAAAGTTCTCTCGAATTTGTTCAAATACTTCTCCTTTAGCCGTTCAAACGTCATCTCAAATTCATGGTCGTCTTGTAAAATTTCAACAATTTGCTCCCGAAGCTTTGGAAGTTGACTTGAATTGTACGTCGAAGCTATCAAAAACAGAAAAGTTGTTATATTAAGCATGCGTTCACGATGTTTTGAACATTTTCAAGACGCATTGTAATAGGTGTTATTTCAGAAAGTGGTAGCTTTTTGGGGGAAGTTGCAATTAGCCAATTAAGGAAGTTAGTGGGAAAGAAACAAAAAGGGGAATTCCTTCGCCTTAATTTACGTATTTTCCGGTACTTTTTACATAAAAAAAGAAATTTGATCATTTTTTAAAGAAATGTACCAAAAATAACAAATTAATGTTCAATGATCGCATGCCTACTTTGACAAAAGTGGCTATTGCAGGCTGAGTAATATTACAAATTGTCATAAACGAGAAGAACTTCGAATTCGGAGAAATAAACCACTTACTTTTCCCAGGTTTTTTAATCCACTGTATATTTTGTTTGGTACCTGTTCCAACAACGGTTACATTTGGTATACCACATAACACCTCCACCAAAAGCGCTCCTGTAGGAGATGACTTGATCTCCTTACGAAACTCAAGCCAATATAGAGCTGGAAAAGACACTAAGGCTATCACTCCATCGAACTGATCAAGAAGCTTAAAAACATCTGCGGTGAAGGTTTTGCTATCTACCACAACTTTTTCCAACTCAATTTTTCCTTCCACAAGAGAGATCGCTTGACGCCCATTCCTCCTGTTTATGACAACAGAATCTTTTATTTCGTCAAAATGACGACTGTCTAAATTTCTCCGGTACTTTTTCTCGAAATTGGAAAAAAACGTCGCTAAGGGTAACCAACACAACGGAGCTTCTAATAAAACTGTAACGGCCTCAAGTTGTAAATAACATAACTCTTTCTCCTTTTCATTCGCCAGAGACACATTCATGTTTCTACCAAAGACTATTTTCCCATTCACTTTAGGTATTACCATATGAGCATCGATTAGTTGTGGAACCTTCACAAAGGCTCGTAAAGGTTCGCCGTTCTTGGCATGCAAGACAACAGAGTACACCTATAAACGTTGTTATTTAAGAAAACGTTTACACAACATAGGTAAAAAACTCTACAAGTAAAGTTTAGTCATAAGTGGTTCCTTAATGATCACACAACATAGATAAAAAATTCTACAGGTATAGTGCAGTCGTATATGGTTCATAAAAGACAGTCGTCTAACTGCATCGAGTAAACTGGTACACACAGTGACATTTTGGTATCTCTTTCAAAGTAAATCTGTATTGTTTGAACGGAATTGTTTTAGCAGAGAAAATGTTGAACCGAATCCTAACGTTTACAGAAAGCCGGACCTTACAGGTTTGTGCTGCTTTGAAACTCTTAAACATAGGAATACCATTTTCAAACTCTTGCAATGAGCGTTACTGTTTCATCATTTTTCATAACTGCCTGGAGTAAACTTGTACACACAGTGAACTTTAGATATCTCTTTCAAAGTAAACCGGTACAAAATCCTGTATATGTGTGCATTATTTATTGATCTTAAAGACAGTCAGTCATATATTGCAGGGCATACGCAAATTCGGCGTTATTGATAAGAATAGAATGGAAAAACCTAATCTGACTTTGAAAACATGCGTGCTCAAACACAACGTAATAAGAGTCATTAGATAATACGTATACTAAATAACAAATTGTTTCAGGTAATGACGTGATTGATTTTAGTGAAACAACAAGAATACCTTGCAATGTTCTCTGAATACAGAAGCCAACTTCTTTGTTATCTCTTCCTTAGGTTCACTCTCATTCAAATTCGTCACAAGAAGGTCAGCACCACTAAACTGCTGCTCCGGTGATGGCGATCGACGAGCAAGGCCATCCGCCACGGCAAAAAGTGGCATGGGGGCTACTGGTAAAGACGTTGGCCTAGTGGACATGTTCAAAGGGGAGAGAGGCCTACAAGCACGCATACCAAGCATTCCATGAACAAGGCCAGGACGAAACATATTGTTGAACATGTACGGGCTATGAATTTGCTGACCAGTGAATGGAAGATTTTGAAAAGGCAGGCTCATTTGCGGACGAGCATCCGTAAAACGCAGGGGTCGTGTATTTCTGATTAAACTCTCGGTACGAGATGATATGTTTGTATTCGGGGATTGATTTTCTTTGCAAAATTTTGGACTGTAAGGGGAATTTTGGTGTACACCTGCCGGAGATCTAACACCAGCAACTGCAGGAGAGATATAAGAGAAACTCTCCATCGTAGAAGATGGTTTTTGTGTAACAGAGCTACTTCCATTCTTGAAGTTTGTTGCAGGTAACAACGTCGCCAATAAAATATAACCAAACAATTCTTCTTTGTCCAATCTTCGACGCGCTCTATTAATCAAAAATTGATTGCTGTTAAAACTCGAACTGTTACGTGAAAAAACAAGTCTGCGACATAAATCTAAGTTCGAGTGGACAAAAAGAAGTTTGGGACCTAACAAATAGCTATATAAGAGCATTATTGTAGGTATGTTGTATTGCGCTTTCTGAAAATTCGTGTATAAATAAGTTTGGTAGAGAGGGTTTTTGAATCCTGTATTGCTCCATCTACGATTCCAGTAAGGCCAAAAATGCTAATTTTTTACTAGATTTGGTAAATTGAACTTGGACTCTCCCACCACAGTTGGAAAATTCAGAGCAAGGGGAAGTGTTTACGTTGGTCCATATACATGGTCACAGTGATTCCGACGCCTGCTGCCAGTTTATAATATACATACTATACCATTGAACTCCAAACACAACTCATGCCGATACTTAAACAAAATTAAATTACATCTTAAATGCGCAAAAAAATCTATCTATCTTTGTACAACTTTATTTAACCTACAGTTTAACCCACCACAATTTTACTTCAGCGTGAGTGATTTTAAGTAAAAAACATCTTGAGATTCCAAAAATATATTTATTATATTATATAACTCCTGGCTCAGAAACATTTTTGCCAGTTTATTATTTTTCCGTAATGGACCACGGTCCACAGAACGCGTCGATTTACAGTTAAATATAAACAAATTTCGTAAAGCAAACAGCTAATATTTAGAAAATAAAAAAAAACTAAACAGAAAACCATGAAGGAATGCTAGTCGAAAAAAAAACACACTCGAAAAGTGAATTTTACTATGCAGACGATATTTCGTTTTTTTTACTGACGAAAACTAGTGGAGTGAAAACCAGTCCTTACAAAACAACGTAAAAAACGAAAAGGAAAGAAAGCATCATATCAGGTCAAATAATGCTATATAATAAACTTTATTAACCTCGCTTGCTCGGTCTTCACAGAGAAATAGCCATTGAACTAAATATATAACTGGAATGCTACCTTTATATAAGCCTGGCTGCCCTGTATGAAGCCAAATTCTATCCCCAGACACACACGTGTCTGGCGGTCAAATCCCGCATTCTAGCTTATTGTCGTAATGACATTTCTTTGGGCCACGCGTGGAAAGACTGGAGTTAGTTGAATTATTGGCTTCAAATTTTGGCGGGAAGTAGCCATCCAGTTATGTTCAGTTTAATGAAAATATTGGATCTCTGTTTTTTCTACATACGTATCGTCCTTTCTACATTGATACATATTTTGAAATCTCAAGATGTTGTATACATATTCAGAATTTGTTTTTTTTGCTTCACTTTTTTGGACAAGCCGGCTGGAAATGGTTTTAGGTGATTTAAAAAAGCGAGGGTAATACCTTGAAGCAGCTTCTGCGTTAGGAAAATGTAGTACAGCTTTGTTCCCATTGATTTTAACTACTTTGCCACCACAATTGTCGGAGAGTTTCGAAAGCTTTGCTTTGAGAAGCACTTGTTTGGCTGGTGGAAGGTTAGTAATAAGAACTTCTTTCGATGTTGGTGATTGTTGAATGACCTGAGAAAGATGAAAAATACATGTAAGAATGAACAGATTTCAAAGAAAAGTTGCTCATGTTGGATTTTCTCATGTTGTATTTAAGAGCTTAAAGTGAAATCCTATAGAGTGTTTGCATGTGACGTCAATGAAAGCGGCCATGTTGGAGGAGTACATCAAAGTGCCGATTCTCAACAGAGCATAAAATTAATATAATGTTTTTTCACTGAATGGGATTTTCCCACAATATGGCGACCAATGAAAACACCCTTTATGCAAAAACAATTTCATCAAAACTGTCGAAAAACAAAGAAATATCTCAATAACAAAAGAAAATGCATAGTCTACGTTAAGTAAGTCTAGGTAAAGATAGAACATTTTGAGTAGTAAGAATCGTCATGCCAAAATTAGAATCTTGAATCATGAATTATAACCGCAAAATGAAAATTACAATCATTTATAATTAGCTGGTGAGAATTATTAGTAATTCTAATTATTAATCAGAATTACAATGCCTCATTAGAATTTTTTATCATCGAAATTAAAACTGCAAACTAAAATTAGAATCTTTTACAATTAGCAAATCAGAAGTAATATAACAAAATTACAATCTTATATTATTAATCAGAAGTACTATGTCAAAAACTAGATTCTTTTATTACTAATGAAAAACACTAAATCAAGAAATACTACTTTAGGCTAGTCGTAATTTAACTAGAAAGTGTCAACTGCTACGAGAAATAACTACCATATTAACTAAATTTTTTATCAAAACATTTCTTCCTCAACACGATGTTTAACAACAAAATAGAATACACGAGTTAGAATAAATGAGTTGCTATTGATTGACATCTAAAAAGTGATTTTTGAAGTGTGTTTTGAAATGTAAATGTTTGAGCAACAAGCTGTTGAAGAATAATTTGCCGAACCGTAACGTTGCACCCTTCAAAGCCCCCGCCTTAGTAATTTTTAAACATAAAAAGACAAAACCTAGTGTGAAAGCGGTAGACTGTCAATTGCAAGTGTGCAAATCAAAGAAAAAATTTGTTCATCTAAACACCTTTGTATGTTTCATAATAAATACACAAATGAAAACATCAACAAATACACAAAAAAGGACTTTGAAAAAAATCTCTACCGGAATAGTCGTTGTATTCTGTAAGTCTTGGGTGAGAAGATCAAATCGGTGAGCTTCGTGAGCAAATCCGAGCAATGCCGAGGAAGCAGATTCATTATGAAGGCATATCACACGAAAGTTGTAACGATGTTTGAGATCGGACAGATCCATCGCAAAATTACCATCGCCCGAGATGAGAACAACCGTAGCCGCTCGGCCGTCGTACGTCTGCGCAAATCTTCGCAAACTCTGACGTAGCTTGTCATCTGCAGCGTTCTTTGATGTTGCGTTAATGTGGACAACCGTTACCTAAAATTTATTTTTTTAATATTTTCACGTTAAATTGAAATTGCATTCACGCGCGAACATTGCCAATCATACATCATTACCACGCATGAAACACTGCCACGCGTGTAATATTGTCACATACATCATGTACCACGACATGACATCATTGTCACGCATGCCACGCGTGTAATATTGTCACGCGTGTAACATTGTCACGGATACATCGTTGTTACCCGTGTAGCATTCTCACGCGTGGGACACTGTCAAGCATACATCATTGTCACGCGTGCAACATTGTCGCAGGTGTTAAGATGTTGCTATCAAAGAAACAGAATGCAACGTGTATATTTTAGGACAGCCATTATGACCCGAAATAAATTTATAAAATTGTTCTTTACAGCAAATTTACTCATTTGTAGAGTGCTACATGTGGATGATTCTATACCATTAGATACCAGTCAATTTACGACCTAAGACATTCAAAGGCTTCTGTTGTCCATCAAACCCAAACAAACAAAAATAGCTGGAAGTCTTTTCAGTTTCATCAATTAAGAACATCGATGAAATCATTTGGCAATGAAATTTGTAAGCAATATTAGTGCTTCTGCTTTGAACCTAATACCATATATTTTTAAAACATTCTCCGAAAGACAAAATCGTCTTACGTTTAATCACTGTAATTGTAAACTTGCTAAGCAGCTCAATCTCTTCGGCTGCTGTGTATTTGTTTACACTAAGTTAATGGAGTGAAAACAGTTATGCAATTTAATTCTTGAGCCCTTATATAACAGGCTCTCAGCTCTTAGAGAAATGTACGTTTCAATTATATCCCAACAAAATTAATTGGGGTAATGTCAAACCCTACAGTTACAATATTTTGGAAGAATGGAAAGAAAAAATTTCCCTACACACAGAGCTAATCTTTGCGATACGTTAGCAATGCATTTTCATTACAAATAGAAAATAAATTTAAATACTGCTTTGAACAGCGTATTTTCCTTATTGAATGACAACAATGTAGTTCTAAGAAAACTGTGGAAAACCTAAAATATTATGTAATACTAAATGACAAGATACATGTCGACAGACTTCTCATCAGTTGCCTTTTACAAAGAACATTTTTGGTTTTCATTCAAGCAGATGTGGCGCCTGATAAAAGTTAGACCGAAATGCGTTGCATCAATTATAGCTATTTTAATATTGGTTTTTCAACTATTAATTTCAGAACTACATAGTCCCACTTACCACTGCAAATACGCATTTTCAAATCAGTATTTAAGTTTATTACCACAACCAAGTCTTTTGCCCGTATTCTAAAAGCTTCTCACGCTCACACTCATTGAGTGCGACACAAAAATAACAAAAATCAAAAATCTGTCTAATCATTAGCAAAGTTATTTCCCCATATGTATATAGCAATATTTTTTACAAGATATTTCAAATCAAGCAATCAGTGGAGTGAAATTGAGGGCTTTGCATAAATATGAAGTGATTTTGAAGCCCCACTCGTCGAGTGTGAGTGAGCTTTTACAATACGGGCGTTTGTTAACAAAATGAATGTAAACTAAGCTCACTTAGCTTGATTAAGTGCCTCTGTCACTGTCTTTTTCTATGACAGTCTTTTCTTTTCATTAATAAAAAATGTAAACAAAGCTCACCTGAGCTTGATTAAGTTCCTCTATGACAGTCTTTTTTTCTTTTCCTGTATCACATACACACATAAACTCCGCTTCTCTTTTCTTTTCAAGAAAAACCGAACGAATCTTCTGTACGACTGCTCTTGCCGATTTTCCCCTGGGTATAGCACAATTTTCAAAGTCCCAAAATACTCCTACAGGTTCAAATTCCTTCATCGCATTCTCTTGATTTTTTAAAGACGTACGCAATTCAACAAAGTTGGGATCTTTTTGAGGGAAAAAAGTTGTCGAAAACTGTATCGGTTTTGGTGGAAATGATTGGAAAAGAGTGGAGTTTTTTTGAGCGTTTATTTTTTCAGGACAATGAAAATCGCTTTGATCAAGATTCGCAAATGGCTTGGTGGAAGAAAAAAACAGAGAACTTTGCTGACTTTTTACATTTGGATGCGATGTGTAGTTAAATGAAGGGTTATTGGCAGCGAGAGATGATTTAGTTGGATATAAAGGTCGAGGTTGGACTATATCTTTCTCCGCCTGGACGCGAGTTGAAGTAAAACTTGGGATAACGGCAGGTGGAGGTGGATTCGTAAGTACATCCTTATAGCATCTGTGATTGGTTTTTTCTTCATGGTTGAAAAATACTGCCTGACACTTAACAAAAAAAATTATGTCATAAGTTGTCATAGTTACAATTTCAACTTTAACACGTAGTAAAGACACAATGCTTAAAAAACATGACATGTAAAAGTTACACAACGCCTACAAAACAAGACGTGTAAATTTTCCAAAATGCCTTAAAAACATGGCATTTAAAACTCACATAATGCCTAAAATATGAAATGCAAAATTTACACAATGCCCAAAAAATGACATATTAAATTTACACAGCTTGAAAACGTGGCATGTAAAATTTACACAATGCCAAAACAAACATGACATGCACAATTTAAGATCATGTATAACTGGCAAAGCATGCCATCCTTACTTTGATACATTTGTCAACAGGTTGAGCCAGGTTTGTCTTTGCCATGGTCACATGTTCAACGTAAGCTGCGTGATCCAGAAAATGTGTGTTGCAATCTTTATTGCCACATTCACCAAAACACTTAAAAGCATTATGGGAAGGGCAACGCAACGGAAGAGCACCTGGTGAAAAAAATTTGCATGTCGAATTGCCATGGAAATAAGCACAAAGCAACACCTTTCAGGAAAACAAAATCGGGGGGGGAGGGCTGGTAACTCAGACATACATAAATTAGAAAGCACTTTTCCTGATACGAAATAAAATATTCAACTGGGAACAAGGTAAAAACAGGATTTCGAAAAGTTCAGGTGATAAATACTAAATACCCACTTTACTGCATACCTAAACTTCTACATATAACCCTACTCTCCCACATTACTGCATACCTAAACTTCTGCATATATCCTTACTCTCCCACTTTACTGCATACCTAAACTTCTACATATATCCTTACTCTCCCACTTTACTGCATACCTAAACTTCTACATATATCCTTACTCTCCCACTTTACTGCATACCTAAACTTCTACATATATCCTTACTCTCCCACTTTACTGCATACCTAAACTTCTACATATATCCTTACTCTCCCACTTTACTGCATACCTAAACTTCTACATATATCCTTACTCTCCCACTTTACTGCATACCTAAACTTCTACATATATCCCTACTCTCACTTATTTTAAAATGATGCAATATGGTAGGAATTTAGCTATAGGTGGCTGTCCAACCATTTTAAGGACATCTGCTACTGAATGTGGATGGCAAAATAAATTAATTAACAACCAAAGAATATTCTATTTAAATAGCAGCTCACAAGCTATACATGAAAAATTTACGGAATTTGTTGCAATTTGTGCACAAAGAAACAGACAATGGCTTTGGAGTAAAATCGTTCCTCAAATGTTTACTTAACTAATCATAGCTGTTTTGATATTCATTGCCATCAAAAACACACTTAATATAACTGATCAAATATACCAAACTCCTGAACTAAAGTGTTTTGTATGGGTGGTTTTAAAATCCTGGCTAAAACTCTGCATTATGGTGGCAAGTGCAAGCCACAAAAGCAGAACATAATGATATAAACTTAAATATCACTTCCTAATAAGTTGAGAAAAGCACCATGTTTGCTAGTTGAATTGTTCCTATTTCAAACTACTGGAAACAAGTTGGGGTCATGTCCTTCACCATAACAACTAATTCAACTTTTACATTTAAATGCCCCATACTATTTAGTAGTATTGTCCATTCACATCTATGACACATATATACGTTGACATCAAACATTGACTCTTTACAAGCCATTTCAAAAGCATTGAGGCGAAACTATTCCACCTCCCTCTCCTGTGCATGCAAAATAAAATAACAAAAATATTACTCAAACCATCTAATGTGATCATGGAACTTTTTGTCAATCTTGGATGCCTTAATGGGCATAATTCATCTTTGCATTGTTTTTGCTGCCATTTTTCGCAAACTTGGGTGGTTTTCTTTGCTTCTTCACAATGACGAAATATACACTAAAAAGACAAAAGGAATCAATTCAATATGTAGCAAAGTCGTTAGATATAGTTACTAACAAGATCAATGTTTTAAGAACTTCTGGAAACAATTCTTCTTTATTCTAAAAGGTTAAATAAGCAAGTCCTCATCCCCCCACAGTCCCCACACTATAAGCAAGCAAAACATTGGGCACCAAATGAATACTTATGATACAAAACACATTGTTCACACCACACCATATTACCTTTGCCCTTACATGAAACTGGACAACTTGTCTAATGCAGTTCAAGTAGTTAAGTCTCAACGAATTTTTTATAATTCCACATCCCTCAGAGCCATGCACCTTCAAGAAGGACGTATAGTCCCAAGAGTTCTTTTAACAGCATTCCACCTGTTCCCAAATCATGCATTTCCAAGTTGGAGCACACTCCCTCCTCTGGTGAAAGTGCAAGTTGCAGAAAGTACTTGTACATTTTCGTTGGTAATTAGCGGAAATGCAAAATAACATAAAACAAAATGGGACAAGAAAAAAGCACTGTCAAATAATCTGACGAAATTAGTCTTCCCTACCTCCCCTTCTTTCCATGTGCACTGACGACCATCGACAAAGTACAGGCAGTCAGTAATTGACCTATAATCTGTTTTTGCTGAAGTATTTTGTACATTTTTAAGCGCCTCCAGTTCATTAGGCCCTTTAGTTTTAATTGATTGATTAAATAATTGAAAGCCGTCCATAACAGAGGCTGCACATTCAGCTATTTCACGACCAAAATAATTGACATAACCAAAACGTTTGGACTTGCCAAGCTCGTCACGACAAACCACGACGCTTTTTAGCGGCCCAAATTTACCAAAATACTCGGAAAGCGTCTCTTCTTTACATTTTAATGGTAGCGAGCCTACCCAAACTGAGCATTTATCTTCCATTGCACTAAAAAAGTCGTATTTCTGTGATGAAAACTATTGAAAAGTCCAAATAAATCGCTTGGCTAAAGTCACTGAGCTAATACGACGTTGTGATGATCTGGAGTGACCGTATGGTATCATTGAACTAAAAGACTAATATACATCTGGAACGATAAGTCAGTGGGGTAAAATGAAGCCAGATTTTTTCTGTCAAAATTATAGAATGGCAAAAAAATCGGCAAAAGGTCATAGCATTGCTGAGAAATTTTAAAGACAAGACGAAAATTATGAAAAGTCCGCTCGATTTTTTCTGCTTTTTTCTGAGTTTTTGAAAGTTCCAGTCATATCCGAACGTTCAAACCACCTAAATATTGTAGTTCCATGTTAAATACACATGCCTATAAGGTTTCGTAAAAATAAACGATTTGCCAAACAGAAAAATGTAGTGTTTTTAAAAGCATTTTTCATGCCATGAAGAAACACTCACTGCAATCATTATAGAGGTCAGTGTCATAAATAAAAGCGACAAAATCTACAAAAAGCCGAAAGCAAAAAAAAGTAATAACACATAATGCTATATTCTTGTGTTGTTTGTGGAAAGCGAAATAAGAAAGAAAAAGAAAACGAGTACATTGCCTATCACAGGTAAGCTTATTATAAACTTGTAAAAATAAAAAAAGAAAACAAGCAATATGTAAAAAAAATACCAATAAATATTTTAGCAATCATAAAATGTCCCCTTTAAAGGATGAAGCACGCTTAAAAAGATGGAAGGATGTAGTAAAAAGGGCTAAAAACGATCTTTATAGTTGGAGAGCAACAGATCTTAGCTTTATGTGTAATCAGCATTTTGAGAAAGATGATTAAATCCAGCCCAAATCAGAAAAAGGACCATGAAGATTGAAAAGAAATGCAACTCCATCAATTTTTTAAGCTCAAAAGCACCCCATTCAAATACAATATTTCAGAGGATGCAAGATGCCGAGTAGAGATGCCTAACGACCATGCTGCGAAAAAAAGTTCCATGCCACTAGAAAGTAATACAAAATCTCAAAAATACAAAATAAGCATCAATGACAACACATCTAAGTACATTGGGAATGCAGAAATATCAAACAAGCAATCAGGGGCGGATCTAGGATTTTTCAAACATCAGTTATAAAACGTCGGAGGCGCTCCGCACCTGGGGGGTCTGAGGCATTCTCCCCTGAGAAATCTTGAATTTCAGAGCCTTGAAAATGCCATTGTCAGCGTTTTACAGCAATACAAAATGCATTTTGTGGGCATCGTTTTTGCGTAAAAGCAACACATTTTGCTTACGTTTTTTTCCAAAAAAAAATGAAGTGAACAATACTTGAATGTTTTGCCAAATATTTAGGCTCATTATCATGCCAAATATATGGCTCATTAGCATGTCTAGGAACGTAAAATGTATTTTACAATAATGCTATTCCAAAACAGATATAGTCTTTAAAAATATGGTAGGTACCAAATTTAGTGTGAAACCGGTAGCTTTATAGTTTAAAATGCGCTAGTTAGAGACAATTTTAACCATGCAAACTTCAATATAATTTTTTTTATAGAGTTTCAATGATAGAATTTACAAATAAAACAAAGTCTACAAGTGTATATAACAATATAAGACTTTTTGCCATTTCTTTTTGCTGTAAATGAATTACTCGACGTTGTGACTGGAAAATGTGCTCCTCCAGAGTTAACCAAGTGAGGTGATTCGTATGTTACAAGCACACTTTTTAAGCATATCGATCATCTTTCGATTGCAGTGATTGAGAAGTATAGGGAAATGTTGAGGCAATGACGCTCAATTTGCCTTTGGCACTTTTGTAAAAATACCGTAGTGTTGAATAGATTTAGTGACTTTTTCATTCCACTAAATTTTGCTATGCTTAATTTTGATTTCAACAGTGAACCGTTCCTCGTATAATTTCCTGCACTCTGTAAAATTACTCAAATCAAAAACCGTTACACGCTAAATATATACATTTTCACTGTCTACAAATCTACAGAATTTCGAAAATAACATACTACTGCAAATAACTAGCAACCGTGCTTTTTGTCACTTCATACGTCATGTAAACAACACGTCTGGCAATCTGAACATGTCTAATTGGGCAAGGCTCTAGTCCTATTGTATAATGTGTAGATACTTTCTCATCTAGTGGTTAATTCTACTTAATGTATTTGGTCCAATGCTTGGAAGACAATACCTAAAAAATTTTCTGTGAACTAAACAAACGAGACGGAAGCACCAAACACCTAACTTAAGTTAGGCAGGACTATATAAAGATGAAAATCTTTCAATATTATTTGCATGACAAGATAGGCATTGAACTGATATATACTACACCGCATCTTTTTTCTGCCCAAAACAAATCACTATATCGCAAAACATGGAAATATCACAGAAATGACTAGGTCCACTATTTTTCGGTTTTACCAAAATTTGAATTTGCCATTTCTTCTGTATCAAACGGCTTTGTAGCTTCCTTAAGCTGACTAAGAAGACATCTTAGCTACCAGAAAGCAAACCAATTGTGATCCATTTTTTATGACAATGTATACATTTGCCATGATGAATGGCACAAACTAGATATTATATCATGGCCTATTATCAGTTAAACTTACAGTTATATATTACCCCAAATAAATATAAATGTTCAACGTTATGGTAAACTATTGTTCTTTTATAAGGATGCGTCTTTTTTGTCTGAACTATCAACTGGATCATAATTTTTATCTTCCCAAAGCAAGACGTTTTCCTTGGCCTCTTCATCAATTGTGTCTGGTAGTTTCTTTCCTAATGTTTCCTTCAGAAGAAGGGAGCTTAGACTTGAAAAGAACGCAAAAGTACCAAAAATTATAAATGGAACAGATTTTCGACTCTTCTTTCCCTAAAAAACAAAAAAGGGATTCTTCAGAAACAAACGCATTAATTCGAGCTTGGATGTTGAAGCAGCTACGCCTTTTGACCAATAAAATGAAGTACATTTTGTAAATTTTTGAAGAGCAAGCAGCCTTTTTTCCGAATACATCATTCTTATTTTAACTAGCAATCAAATTTTTTTCCAATTTTATTTTTCTCCATTCAATTAACTTGTAAACAAACTTTCTTCCAAATTTATCTTTCTCAATTTTATTTTCACACGTAATACATAATTCAGTAATGTGAGAAGACAATGACGCACCAAGAGTAAGATTTGAGGAGCGATAACACCACCAAATCTGGCCCACGATGCGCATGCTCCAAGACCAACATTCCTGAAAATAAGGCTAAGTAGAAGTTCCTCTTCATTTTCCTTAAAATTAAAATTGGCGTCCCGATTTCTCCGTAGTGAGAATAATATTGCTAAAACAACACCATTTTTTACCTAATTTCAGTTGGAAATAATTCCGAAGTGTAAATAAAGACGACACTAAACGAACATGCTACACCAACTTTTCCAATGATTGCAAGTGCTGTAGTCAATTTCTGGAGCGAGTCATTGTCTGCAAAGGAACAAATCATCTTACTTTACATCAAGCTATGATCTTGGGATGTATGATTATAAACTTCAAAATGATGTTTATAAAAGGCAAACAACTTCTAAGCTTTTTGCTCATTAATAGGACATTCGGTCATTAAGTTTGCCGGTTACTGAAGAGTATATTTTTATAGACATTATAGAAAATTATGAGATATCCGCTCTTACTCTTAAAACATACCAGCTTCTTCCGAGAGCACTCCAGCAGCGATGTTTGTTAGAGATCCCAACAAAAGGTATGCAAACAATGGCTTTCGACGTCCGAACCTTCAACAAAGACTGAAACATTTATCATGTGGAAAATATATCTGCTTCCTAGGGGGGGAGAGATATTTTCGAGGTCGCAAACACACAAATTTTTGCACCTGCAAAAAACTTTAGCCCCCTCCACTCCAAAAAAAACCTATCCCAAGAAACTAAGAACGAACAAACACGAAGTTGTACAGCGTAAAGTAAAACTCAGAGATTTAAAATCAAAAACAATTTACAGGCAGCACGCACACTTCACCATACCCCCTAACCCCTTTGATTTCGAGCAACCCAAAGCAACACCTGAAAATGATTTTGTGAAAACAAACATATATCATTAATTATACCTTGGTTAATCATACCTTGCAGTAACAAATACGGTAAGAATGTATGCACCAAGTTCCAAGACACCACTAATAAAGAAATTCAGATATTTGTCTCCCGCTAAGCTGGAAATGTTCAGTGAAATACCATAGTAACCAACGGAAGAGGAAAACCTATATAAGAAAAATATATTTTAGTGATATAGTATTTTCTCATTTTCGAACTACTTGGAAGGAAACAGCTGAATTCTTCACTCTCACGTGACACTTTCTCGACCAATGAAACATTAGGAAAATGAACTTTGAAAATTGGCATGCAACAAATGTCCTTACCATATTAATGCCATGACAATGGATCGTTTTCTAAGCACTCGAAACCTAAAGAGATCGATGAATGTGTATTTTCGGCTCTCTGCTGTTTCACTTTCTTTTGACTTATTTTCTACAACAGTTTCGTCAAAAATGTCACGCGGAAACGGCAAACGATTGAATTTTGCGATTCTCCTGATAACCTGCTCTGCTTTGTCGAATCTCTTATGAACAATCAGCCATCGAAAAGACTCCGGCAACATCCTGAAAAACGAAAAAATTTTAAAATTCGTTAACTATGCATGGTTGGAATATGTATTGTACATACGTATTTGTAGTATATTGAAGTCAGGATTTTGCTTTCAAAATATACACTATCGATAATTCATGACCAAGTTAAACAGCACAAGATGTAAACACAACCAAAAAACTCTGTTGTATTTAAACGGGAATTTCTACTGGTGTAGCTGGACCGTATTGCTAGTTTTGCTATGTTCATTTTTCTGGGTTAACCAACTGGGAAAAAACAAATTTCTAAAGAAATAAATAATGATAATGTTGCGAAATTTACATGGCAGGACTAAAAATGGCAGGCTGGCTACGTCACAGGAGAACGTCCATCGAGAATGTACACACATTGGAATGTTCACGGAAAGAGTAAGTAATCTCACGCCCAACACGCAACTAAAGACTTATTTCACGCCATTCTCTAAACAGACAATCCCTATTCGTTACCAAAGAATAAAATACACATCCGACCTCCTATTCCTGGGTTGCAAGCTACGTCATAGTCGCCATGTTGAATGATTTTACAAAGGATTTTCCTTATTTACAATGCAAATTTCATCCAACATGGCGAGCATTCTATGGTTCTCTTACTCCATGGGGGATGGTTGCAACCCATCAATAGATATTTTTCGTTTGGGATTCGACATGCATTTCTGCTTCTGATGGGTAAATACATTAAAATTGTTCTTCTCTCATGAATCATGACAAAGGAAATCTGGACGTATTTTTCGCTAATTTTCGCCTCATTTACAGCACGTGTGACCTTCAAGTTGGAATATACAAATATTCCAGCACTAAAGAGCAATATGAATTTTGCAGGCTAACTTGGAATATTTCCATTGAACCCTCCCCCGCCTAACATTACAAACTATTGCTTCTATGTACACCAAATCACGGTTCCTAGGCTTTCCACTATGACGAGAGTTGACTACAACTAGTATAAGGTCAAATGTTCAAGTGACTGATATACTGGTAGGTGCTAAAATGTACAGGTAGGTGCTGAAATATACAGGTAGGTGCTGAAATATACAGGTAGGTGCTGAAATATACAGGTAGGTGCTGAAATATACAGGTAGGTGCTGAAATATACAGGTAGGTGCTAAAATGTACAGGTAGGTGCTGAAATATACAGGTAGGTGCTGAAATATACAGGTAGGTGCTAAAATTTACAGGTAGGTACTAAAATATACAGGTAGGTACTGAAATATACAGGTAGGTGCTGAAGTACAGGTAGGTACTGAAATATACAGATAGGTGCTAAAATTTACAGGTAGGTACTGAAATATACAGGTAGGTAAAGAAATATACAGGTAGGTGCAGAAATATACATGTAGGGGCAGAAATATACAGGTAGGTACTGAAATATACAGGTAGGTGCAGAAATATACAGGTAGGTGCAGAAATATACAGGTAGGTACTGAAATATACAGGTAGGTGCAGAAATATACAGGTAGGTGCAGAAATATACGGGTAGGGGCAGAAATATACAGGTAGGTTCTGAAATATACGGGTAGGCGCTGACATATACAGGTAGGTGTTGAAATATACAGGTAGGTACTGAAATATACAGGTAGGTACTGAGATATACAAGTAGGTGCTGAAATACATGGGGATTAAAAAAACAATAAATAGGGAAGTCGTAAAAACGTATGTGATTAATATTGATGAGAATAAAATAAATGGTTTGAACCCGGGAGTATCGTTACATGTTTGTAAATGTAGATCATCCAGGTTGGTATAGTCCTTCTCAGGACTATACCAACCTGGACGATCTACATTTACAAACATGTATTGATGAGAATGTTATGATTTATGGTAAGCGAACATAAACAAGGAAGGGAAACATCCCCTGTTCATGTCCGCTGACCAGCAAGCACAACATCCCCATTCCCGGCTCCCTTCCTCTTTAGTTCCACGGGATATCATTCCTACCATATTAATCCCGCTTGAAGTAGAGTTGTCGTGGTTATAAACAGTTGTATATATTTCCAATCTTGAAAGATATATGCAATCAGAGGTAGTACCATGACGCCACCAGCAGCCCAGAAGATCACCTGTATGGTGCCCATGTGACCGCGATATTTCAGAGCAAACAGTTCTATTATCGAGATGTAACATGATGCTTGAAGACCCTAAGGTATTTTAAAGGATATTAAGATGCAGTTTACAAATAATGGAGTGCAATATTCAAGATACCACGAATTCAAGTATTTTAATTTCTAAGATACTTAAAAGCACAAGCTACAAGGTATAGTTGGTGTGGACGAAAATATATTCACATATACGTGTTCTGTAGTTCAAAATTTGTTTGAAAATTTTGATAACACGACTTATAACATCATTACACAAATATACCCTCAAGTCAACACTTTAATAGTCAGTATTCGAAATTATTGCAGGAAATCCTAGTTAGTTTTTGTTTGGGGGCGGGGAGGGGGCTTAGTGGTGGCTTGAACACAGTCTGAAAAAAATGAAAGTTAAAAATTTTTTAGCAAAAGTTAATAGTTGTATGGTGAGAAAATGATGCCTCGCTCTTTTTACAGGCAAATTATACACCGGACTCGTATATAAGACAAATTAAAGTCCTCACAAATTGCCCCCCCCCCCCGCCAATGTTGAGGCACAAGTTACACTCCCTGCAGTATCGAACACTTTTTACTCTAGTTCAAAAACATACAATGTAGACCATACAGAACATATTAATTCATTTTATTAAAAAAAAAACACACCAAATTTCTTACAATCCCCATACCTGTAACAAAACTCCCAGTATAAAACGTAGAACAACAAAGGCAACATAGTTGTCAATTAAGAATAACAACAAACCAACGACGCTTGATGAAAACAGGCAAATTAGCAACACAGGTCGTCGTCCAAATTTATCCGAAAGCGTTCCAAAGACCAAGCCACCAAGCAAAACACCACAAAAATAAATGGTTGTCGCAAGATTCGCTTTGTAGGAATCATCGCACACTAAATCCCACTAAATAAATATTTGTTCATACGTTGTTTAGAAGAAGAGGAAAAAACTCTGCGTGCATTAAAAAAGACCTTAAAAAAGCTCCTTTCCCCCTTTTGAACCCGTTTAAAGCTTCTTGAGTGGAATGAACCGTATGACTATACAATAATGTTTTGGCCAATATAATTAATCAAACAGAAAACTAGCTAGGGCGAAGTTTGGAAAAAACATTGCCTTTTGACAAGTAATTTGAATCAAACAGTGGCGTGGCCAGCCGTCAGGTTTTGGTCCTGCTATCTAAATTTCAAAACATCTTATTCCTTTTTTCAGGAATCTTTGGTTTTCACAGTGAGTGAAGATAGAAAAATTTATAGAATAATTAGCACGACTAAATAAGCGGACTGGCTATGCTATAGTGTAGTCAACCGAGAAATGCTCCATATTCTTATTTCAATCCTCCATCTTAATGAACTCTCGTTCAATTTTGATTCATGTATAAAGTATCAATGCCAGCAATGTCATTTCCCAGATGAAAATCTTATGTAGTATTGTGCTTAGGATCCTAAAAGAATCGAATATTAGATCCTGTAAAGTCATAAGATTAATATAGTCTATATACTACATAATCTCTAGACCCTGAGATTGGACACAGTTCCTAAGATTGGATACGGATCCTGTGCAAATCCGTTTGCAGGATCCTACTTCTGTCAAAGGTGCCACAAAGATCCCCTTTTTAGGATCCCACATCAAAATCATGACAAGATTAAAGCTTAGAATTCTAATTTTTAGGATTTCACCATAAACATATAAATATTTCTTTAGGTTATCAAAAAATTTCCGGTACGCAGGTCCTGTTGGAAACAGTAGGATGCTACAGGATTTACTCAGGAATTTCAACAAGACTTGTATGGAATTTGGGCTATAGCCGCACAATGTTTATTTTACTTGTTCTTCAATGACCATATAAGGAAGTTGCAATGTGGCCATAAAGTGCTGGTGATTATAAAAATTAAATGAAACCCATCTGTGAACCTTTAACATTGACAAACACAGATTTTCATTAACTTACTCACTAACATCAAATTATAAACAGCATAGTTCACCTGAGAAATAATAGTTTTCACTCGTCCTTTTAAATCATAACTCCAGCCATTAGGACATGAACGTATTTCTTTTGATGTTTTGTTTACATACACATGACAACCATCCCACTTAGCTCTTCCACCAGGTTTGGATACTGGTGGAATGAGATTGGCCACCATGCTGGCATTACCAACATCACAATGGTGTTTGGTTTTTGCACCCATAAATGCCATACCCAAATGGTTCCAGGCGACAAAAAATGAATTGCAGCATAACATGAGATATAAGATGATTTGAAATCGGCCTGGACTACCGATTGCTCCTGCAAGTTTTTCGACAGCCATGTTTTTTTCAGTTTGGCTGCTTTTTCAATCTTTGTCTTTCTTAGCTATGAAAATATGATAGGACAACTCACATTATGATGCACTGTAGTTGATTTGAATACATCACCCAGGTTATGTAAGATATTTTTAGCTCTTCTTCTATAAAGTCACTACAAGTTCAATTCTAGATGCATTGGCATAACCTCCGTTCAAATTTCTTCATGCTATGTAAATTTCTCAACAACAGCATTGCTCCTTTCTTTAGAAATGTATTGTTTACATAGTGAGTGAACACCAAGCAAGTATTTACATAGCATGAACGAACTTGCGGCCTTGCTACATCTGTCAAGATGTACATGCACTTCATACATATATTATGAAGGGTATATGCTTTATATGTATTGAAAAATTTATTTCCAACATTCCGTTATTACTACATCAAAACTTTTTGGTTACAGTGAGCAGTGCTAATGCATTTGATCATGAAATTAATAACCGCGCAATCTGATCACTATGCGGTTGCGACATGGCGACATAGCGTCTCAGCCTTAAAGAGTTACTTTAATATATTTGAAACACCTAATAAACAATATTTTAATTCTACATACAGCTTACTGCCTATCTCCCCAAGTATTCGCACCTTACTTTCACTTTGCTCCGACAACCCAGCAGCTTGCTGTCAAAAACATGCAGTCAGCATGCTTTTTTACCAATTTGCCCTTAGCACAGAATATACACTATACAGAAGGGCCACTCTTGAATGATAACCGAAGCCAAAAATTGAAGCCAAAAAAATATTTGTCGTCATCATTTATGGCGCGCCAAGATGGACAATATTACCAAAATCGAAAATATTAACAACGAAACACATTATCGTATGTCGAAAATAATATACTGGCAACTTTTTCAATATTTCATAACTTGAAAAATAAATTTCGTTGTGTATATATATTTCAACATTTTCATAACTTGAAAAATAAATTTCGTTGTGTATATATAAACTATGGTAAACGAATTTTTGTTTTATTTTATATTTTTGCGTTTCGTTTTGCAAATATTGAAAAAGTTGCCAGTATATTATTTTCGACATACGATAATGTGTTTCGTTATAAATATTTTCGATTTTGGTAATATTGTCCATCTTGGCACGCCATAATCATTCGTCATTACACGTCAGGCTCTAGTCTCTCGTGTGTTCATTTTAATTTTTTTTAATCATTTGTCCCTTTGTAATGGTACAGTTCGGATCTTGATCAGAGCGTAAAAATAACGAAATTTTTGGATTGAAAAGGTTCACGGAAAGTGAATCAAAGTGATAAATCGAGAAGCAAGGTGAGGTGAACTTGGTCGATCTGCTGTTACGCTGCGGTTTTCCTTTAACACATATCAAAGTCTTTACGGTAAATGGTTTGAACCCGGAAGTATCGTTACTTGTTTGTAAATGTAGATCGTCCAGGTTGGTATAGTCCTGAGAAGGACTGTTTTTGTTGTTGTTGACTGACTTTTCGACAACCTTAGCGGTAGTCATCTTCAGAGTCAAAAAAATGACTATACCAACCTGGACGATCTACATTTACAAACATGCAAAGTCTTTAAGGATATTCAATTTTTGATATTGAGATGACAACCATTTAGTATTTCAAGCACTATCAAAATCGATGAAAAATACAATCGCTCTGTAAAAAGTAAAAATTCGAGTTATAGACTCAATATTTTTTATGAAACTGGATATTCAAGTTTCTTTTTTCTTCGGAAAAACAGATCTTAAAATCCACTGAAATGACAAAAAAAGACAAACACTGTCTGACACCGTTTGAAAATTTACCTTCCGACGAAAGAAAAATTTATGTTTGAATATTTTCTCGCCATATTTGCTATTGTATTGTCTTTTTAGCATACAGTGTAATTTTAAATTGGCTTTTCCTCGTTACAGGTTGTAAGTTACAACGAACTCACTGTAGTAAAGTGTCAGCTGTAAAAAATAACCTTTTGCGAAGAGTTGGCCTCGTGTGTTGTTTGTCGTGGAAGTTGTTTATATGTTTATGCAATTTGTATTCAAATTTATATTGGCCGTGTATGTTTGGCACTCAGGGGAATGAAACTGACGTACAAACCGCGTGAATATTCGACTCTCAAGCCGCGCAAGAGACTAGGACTTTGGCTTTAATTTTATATCTATAAAATGTATTGTCGTTATCATTCCAGATATATATATATAGAGAGTTCACTGGTCGGAGCCTTTGATATTTTTGGGGCCGTGCATGCTACTTCGCGCATCTCAGCCGCCATCTTCCTAGCCAGTCAATTTCTGACAAACAATATAAGGATTGTAAAGAGAAGTACAAATATTTGCCTGTATCTCTTCAATAAGGTCGTAGATTTGTTCCTAGCGAGAGTTCGACAAAATTTGAGGTATATTCTATGTCTTTGTTTTTTTACAACGTAATTAAACGTGTTGTAAAGCTCGAAATCTTACATTTCGTTCTGTGACTGTGACCGCTCCTCAGCTTTGTAAACTGCAGTCAATAGAATTTTTCTTATTTTGCCTCGTTAATGGCATTAAGTTTGAAATCTCTTGGAATTTTTTACTTACAGTGGTTTGGCACTTTGATGCAGTTTAGAAGTTCAAATGATCTGCATCATAATGTATTGAAAAAGCATTGAATCTTGACGGTCACTTTCATTTGATTCATCCGAGGTGTATGCGGGTTCATTTATTTTCCGTCTAAAAGTGAGTCACTTTTACGTACTTTTTTTTTTTTTTTGAACTTGGGGGCTGATAGATTACGATTTGCAAACTTGATGGCATAGTAAATCCTCGTTCTTAGAAAGAGTTTGAGGAGATAATCAATTGAAAAATGCGAGCACTGTTCAAATGGGATTGGAGCTTTTTGTAGCTGCTGAAGAATCTTTTTCAAAATACCTACACTTTTTGTATAAGTGAAGAATTCTGTGACAAATATGTCTTCAATTTTGGTGATATATTCATAAATGATACTTTTGGTGCAAGGAGACCGCCAAAGCTCTTGTCTGACTCATATGCCTTGAAGTAGCAAAGCAGATTTCTGCTATCATCAAGTTGGTCTGTGACCATAACTGACTCACATATGGAACACTTGTGCTTTTCAAAATATTTCTGGAGTAAGTATCCAACTACATAAGCAATTAGATTCTCTTTCATTAAATTCTCACCAACCTCCTTTTCCTTGTAATCCCTTGTCTCAACATCGTCAGTTTTTGTGTTTTTAGATGGAGAAATCAAAATAGGAATGCTTGAGTCAGCTTTGCAGAATTGTGCCAGTAAGTCATCAAAGTCATCATCACAGTTGCCTTGTGATGAATTTAAGAATGAACTAAAAAACAGCTTCCTGAAAGCACGGGTGAACTGGATGGAGGTCGGATTGTCGCTGTTGCCACCCTGCTGACGAATTGCTCCAGAAAAGTTCTCTATTGGGTCAGTATTTAATCTTCTTGTTAGAAGAAACTTAACCCCATAATTTTGGTGAAGGTTATCCCAAATCTGACAAATCGCATTTATGGTAATTAGCCATCCATTGATGCACTTTACTCTGCCTGTTACATCTTGGCTGCCATGAAAAATCTTGAGATTAGATGGGAAGTGAATAGCTTGCTCATAAAAGTTGAGGTGTGGAGAGGTATTGGTCAATGCACATTTTAAAGACTTTTGTGAATGTCCAGTTGAAACGTTCACAGAATCAAACAGAGAATCAGACTTCAAAAGGCATTCTGCAGTGCCCATAGCTGATGACGGCAGACATCCAACACTTACATATGTGCATATGGATGCTGCTACTGTGTGGCTTAAGACTTGGGTAGCATATTTCACCTTCATTTTTGCAAAGTTGTTTGGTGCAATGTGCTTATCAGTCAGTTTAGGTGCTGCTCTTATTGACAACTTTTTATCTTTATTGTAGAAATCCACAATATCCTGCCACTTGGCTGTGAACTGGCTGAACTTGAAAGTGTATTTCATCAAATTATTTCTAACACATTTGATCAGATGTGGTGGATCAAACATAAAATAAATCTTTCTTTGATTGTGCATAAACCAAGGACTCTCTGGACTGATGTTCAGGTGCTTTGAAAATTGCTCCCCAAATCAGACATTACTACAACAACATTCAACCCAATTCCTTCAACTTTGTCAATTGCATCCTTTATCAGCTCTTCCATTTCTTTTGTAGGACATCCTCCATTTACCAATACATAATCAAGTGGTTGCTTCCATTTTCCCGAAATGCTTCTGAGCAAGAGGACAAGTGCTGAATTTGCCAGTTTATTCGTTCTTGTGCCACTTCCATAATCTTCATAGCCAATTATTTTGTCATTGGCTATATCATAGAATAAGTTGGTTTTGAGAGATATCTCGTCCATACACAAATTACATAATTTCTCATTTTCTCTCATATTGTCCACTTTTTTCTTTATGATATTTAGTGCTCCCTGACATATTCCAGTTGCAGCTGGCATCTTAGAGATGTATCTGCGCAATGATGTTTTGGAAGGAAGAATGAATAATTTCGAGAGCAACGATAGGCTCTTCCACTAGCATGATACAAGGACACAGCAATGGACTTCATCTGTGGTGAGTATCGTCTCCCTTTCTTTTTTCTTTCACAAAGCTTATCTCACGTGTTTACATCGCATACAAATTGTTTCTGAAAACCATGTTTTTGATATGAATAGTAAATCCTTCACAGTTTCTTTTACAAAAATTATTTTCTCGCGTCTCTGGTATGTGATATGTCGTTCACTCAACCGATAAATCAACATTCACGATTGTATCAATTTGATATGTACTTATTGGCATTTATTCGACACATGTTATGTTCGGTAATTTTCGACCAAAGAGGCAAGCTCGTTTGTCTTTTCCCATAGCATACTGATTACAAATAATGTTGAAGCTTTTTACAAGAGAATTCTTAGAACATTGAAAGTGCCCAGAGCAAACATTTCGGATTTAATTCGTAAATTAAACAAGACTTACCTGTAAGTTCATGTTTGATTGGAATTCTACTAGTCATCAGTCAGGAACGAAGAAGCGCGCGCGCATTGCTTGTCGATCAGTTTTTCAACGAGAGCAGTTGCAGAAATTAAGGAATCGAAGGAGTCACGGAAGGGATGGGTAGTTCAGGGCATGTGACTCCTTCGTTCCTGACTGATGATTAGTAGAATTCCAATCAAACATCAACTTACAGGTAAGTCTCGTTTAATTTAAGAATTCTACAACGTCATCAGTGACGTCACATGAGATTTCAAAGTTCTGCGGCTGCGAGATGGGAATTGATATGTGAGATGCAATGTCATCAAAGTACCCCACTTTAGGTGTATTTAACAGAACCTCATAAAAGTTAACTTATGGTAAAATTTTGTTAGTAGCAGGCAAAGATTCATTGTTTTCTGTACTGTCTCGTACCACTTTACCAAAAGTGTCTGTATCAACATATTTTTCATAGTAGTTTGCAAACGTGGTAGCATTTGACCATCCGGCTGATAGCAAGATTTGTCTCAAGTTTAGTCCAGCTGTTTTAGCATATGAAGTTGAGGCAGCCCGAGTACTGAAGTAGGTAGTATTTTTGAGGAAAGTGCAGATCTTGCCGTGTTTATGGCACAGTATCCTAGTCCAGATTTGTACATTTCAGTTAGGAATTCAATGGCATTCGCCGTTCCAGGGCTGTATAACGATAATCCCTTACATCGACAAAACTCCTGCCAGCGTAATAGGTAGGTGCGGTATTGTTTTGTAGTACCTTTTCTCCATGATGATATGATAATGTCTTGAGCGGCCCGTGAAAGATTTTGGTTTCTTAGCTTTTCCCTGATAAAAGGCAGAAAATCTGGGGGAGTTTCTTGAAAAGGTGTGTACTTGTGTTGGATGGCTGGGTAGTATGAGGAGACTTGGTGCACGTAATGCTTTTAGTTCTATTAGTGGCTTCTCTAGCATTGTAAGAACTATAGGATACCAGGGTGGAGTTGGCCATTTTGGCATCACACAAATGCCTCGCGCTTTGTCGTTCCTTATTTTCTGTAGAACGTTGGCTATGATACTGAAAGGTGGAAAAGCATAAAATGAATGTTCTGACAAGTTATGCTAAAAGCATCTACAAATAAAGCTTCCGGATCTGGTCTGTAAAAAACGTATTTGTTGAATTGTTTGTTGATTCTTGATGCAAATAAATCAATGTCCGTCATAAATTCGAGCTGTTTACAAGCATCATGCAGATATTTTTATCAAGCATCCATTCAGAGGCATGTTCATTTTGTCTAGATGCAAAATCAGCAATTAAGTTATTTTTTCCAGGAATGTGTGCCACACTGACCCATAGTTCCCGGGCAATACACCATTCTCATAATTGTTTTGTCAGATTGTTGCTACGTTCAAAGTGGCTAGTTCCCTTATTGTTTATGATGCTCACTGCTGAAGTATTGTCATACATAAGACGAATGTGTGCATTGCGTTGGGAATGGGCAAATGTTTGTAGTCCTAGGTAGGAGGCAAACAACTCTAAGTAATTTATGTGTTCTTTTGTCTCTAGGTGTGACCATAGGCCTCCTGTGCTAATGCCTTGCGATTCTGCCCCCAATCTTTGTTTGAAGCGTTTGTCGTAATAGTAAGCCACGGTTCCCCATGAGAAATGGGTTTAATAGCATTCATCACATTATTCGACCACCAATGTAGATCGGCAAAGGCTTCAGCAGAAACCATCATATATGTATCGAAGTTTCCCTTACTTAGAGTTAGTGCAGATGTTTTGTCCCTATCTAAATTTCTGTAGTTTAAGGGTCCATGTAACACACCAGGAAAGCTTGATACTAGTTTAACCACTATTTTAGCCGTGTCTCTAATTTTTACTCCCCATTTCACTTTCTCAATAAATTTTATACAATCTGTTTTTATTGCCGAGGCCTTTTCTTTTGTTAATTTCACAATCATTGTGACGGAGTTAATTTCAAATCTAGTGTTATTAATTTCCGGAAAGGGATAAATATCGATTTATCTGGATGCACTAGGAACACTAATTGGGTAAATAATGTCACTGTATCTATCACATTGTTCTGACATGCATCGTAAGTTTTTCATTGTAAATAGAAATCATCCAGATGTCCCGAGATGATGTGCCCTTTTGAGTGTAATGTAGCTAAGGGGTTTTAGAGTTTTTGTTAACATCCGTAGTCCACTAGATAAGCCGTTGGGCAAGCACGCAAATTGATATAAAACACCCTTCCAATGGAATCTCCGGTATTTCCTGTCAGTGTATTTTATGGGGATTGAATACTAGGCGTCTTTGACATCAATACAACACATGTGGCAGTTTTGTTCTACAAGCTTAGTGATCGTAGTTAGTGAGTCCATTTTGAAATGGAAATAAGACACAAAAGTATTAAAAACTTTAAGATCTAGTATGACCATATGTGTGCGTCTTTTTTACTTTAGTGAAAATATTAGAGAGAATTTCATCTGGTTCGTGTTGTACAGTTTTTATTATATATTTTAGCAATCATTCTATCAATCTCAGTTTTTATTTGTAACAATTCAATTTCATTGAAGTTTGTTGGGCGAAAGTGATGTTGGTAAGGCGTTTCCGACAGATCGATTGGCATCCTTTTACATTAGATAAGATCTCTTTGTCGGATGTAATATCGGTCCATGCGGAAAAGTGATTTGTTATTCTGTCCGCTTTGTAGCTCTCACATAAAGTAATTAAGAGGTTTTTTAAATTTGGAACAAAATTTTCCCATTTGCTTACCGATGTATTTTTCATATGTTGTAATTGGTGAATTATTTCTTGAGTGTTTGTCGTTTCACATTTTTCTTTGGAAAGTATGACTTCCCGCGCTTGTGAAAATCCAAATTCGCTCCACCTTCATAATTTGACCTTAGTTTGCCAAGAGCAAGTTTTTTCTGCCTCCTTTTCTCGACAATGGTTTGCAAAATGTGGTTTGATATAATTTCGTGTGGACTCCGAGTCGTCAAATATTTCAGCTAGCTGTTGAAGTGTATCATTGGTTGAACTCGCATTTGTTTCTGTTTTATCATTGTCAATAAGCTCAGAGATATTGCCATCGCCAAGTTCATCAGCGCAAACGCTTATTTGTCATTTTCATTCGAGTTGTTTTCATGTGTAGTATCTTTAACTGATTTGTAAGATTTTGATTTTCTGTTTTTCTTCTGACGGATATCATCTTCACTGTCCGTCGAAGAAGAGTTTGATCGGCTCCATTTTTGTCGCCTATTATGGTTTTCCTCAACGTCGGGTTTTTGAGTTGAGTTTGCATCATCCCTTGTTTGATGATGCTGCCACATGATACATATCATTGATTTCAGTTCAGCTAGCTCTTCAGTAATAGTTTGAGTATCAGGCTGTTGTTTGCCCGCTGATATGTCTTCTATGTAATTAGATGTTTCTTCAATGTTAGTCATACCTGCTAGATGGCAAATGTTGAAATATGGAGAATTTTAAAATATGGTTATACTCACGGTTCGTTACCTGTCGTCTTGTTCCTCTCTGATCAACGAGCACGCAGTGCACTGATCGACAAGCGACGCGCACGCGCTTCTCATGTGACTCCGTAGTGACGTGACTGATGAAGTTTTACAATTGTATTTCCTGCTCATAGTTTGACTTCGTTTGACATGTATTTTGAGTTAATGTTTATAGTAATTTCGGTATGTTTTAAATCCACATAGGTAATGTCAGATATCATATGTTATTATGTATCAAAAGAGAGAAAGATGAAATAGCTTTTTGTCTTTAAATTAACACAAAAACACAGAGAACAGTGACCAGAGTGAAACGAGCAATTGATAGACAATGCGTCGCACTTTTAATTGATTGACTTCATGTGAAACTATAACTTTAAGATTAGCTACTGCATTTAGGACTCGTATGACACATTTATTTGCTTTCTCCTCTACATTTTATTCACCAAAAATGTGAAAGCACCATGACCAGAGTCACAGAGTGTACATACCTAAACCAAATTCAAATACGTTGCTTCAAGCTCACGGATTTTCGACCAAGCAAAATGCACTTCATGTTTGCGATGGTTAGCAATTATTTTAAATTTTCATTCCTGTCAGTATAAAAAAAGGACATTACTGCACCATTATAGCGTAAACGAAGCAAATTTTGGAAATCATCGTTTTTATGCTACATCCAGTTCAGTCATAAAGGTCAATGATTTGAAAATCGGTCAGACGTTCTTCTACTTTTTGCAGTATAACATAACATGCACGCGTGCGTGCGTGGCTACCCACAAAAAAGTACTTGTTCTTAAAATTATTTTTATGCAAAGTCTTTAAATTAGCATTTCGAAAACACGGACGCTGATTGGCTGAAGTTTCGAAAAACATGTGTTTCCATAACGTCTACAGAAACACGGGAGTTTCAGTTTCGTGAAAGTCTCATAGTTTCCGGTTTACACGGGAATTTAAAAGCTATTTAAAAATATAAACCATGTGTCATTGAACTCGAAAAATTTATTTATTTGATATTGTTTTGAAAAACTATTTTTTATAAAGGAAATAGAATATACTTGCATAAAGAGCAGAGACTTTGTCCATTAAAGATCCATATTTCACTTGCAACTAAATCACTCTCAATCCCCCCAACCCAAACACTATCCCTAGTTCTCACTCTAACCAAATTTTAACCATATACCCAAAAATATGTTGAATTTATCATGCAGTTATCTAGCTTAGATCACTGTAAGTTTCAATAACATTATAACTATACCTTATTTAATAAAAACGACAAGTTTTTTAAAAATAAACATGTTTCAACATCTTATGATGCCATTTTCAGTATCATAAGGAATACTATGTATGTGATGAATATATATAAGAGTAATATGATACTGTGATACAATTTATACACTTATTAATAGATTATTATATTACAATGAATTTTGGTTAGAATTAATCATGAAAGTATTTACAGGCTGAATATAGTGTTAAAACGAAAAACTTGAGCGTTGAGATTAGGGTTAATTTTGTTAATATGAAGTGCTTCTTTGATTTTGAGTGTGAATGTAATATCTGCAGTGTTGATGATTTTAAAGCAAGAGGGTGAATAGTTAGTTTTGCATGAAGGTGATTTTAAAAGGTGTCGAAAGACATGTGAGTTTTTGTCAGTTGTGGTATGTTCCCTGATTCTGGTGGATAAGTGATGGGAAGTTTCGCCAATGTATGGGAATTACATCACGCACAATTGAATTGATATACCACCATAGATTTAATAGAATCAGCGATAGGATCTTTGAATGACATGTTTATTTTAAAAAAACTTGTCGTTTTTATTAAATGCTCAATATCAATAGTGCTTTTACGCAGTTACGGTAACTATACCTTAATTATGATGTTAGATTAAAAGAATATCAAAATTCTCACCATGATCATCCAGAAATCTGTTTCTGGTTCATAGAAAACCTATCTCGTTTTCTATGTATGAAGTGATTCACAAGGCTTGTCAAGAGTGAAATGCCTACCAAGTTTCATATTGCATTAAAATATGAACAAAATAGACAACACAAAAGTTTTGAACAACATTCAAAAAACATGTTGTGAAAACCCTCTTTCAACCGTTTTATTTATATGACACTAAACCATATTTTGAGGGGAGGTGCAAGTACATGTACAAGTTATAAAATTGCTTTGAAAACCCCTAAAAGTTTTTGCATTTCCCTTGAAAATCAATGCGCTTCCTTTGAATTGAAAATAAATTTGATCCAAGGCCAAACAACATGCAGCAAAATCCAAATCTAAATTATAATTTACTACTGAAATAAAGATATTTCTGTGATGGGGCGAATGAGATTTAAAAAACAATAAAATTCATGCTTTGAAAACACCTTAACATTTATTGCATCTCTCTTACGCGTAAGGGAGCTATCATTTCTGCGGGGGCAGTAAATATGTTCCCCAACTCACAAAAAGTTCCCCCACATTTTTGCCCAACTAACATTTGAAATTTGTGCAACTCTTCAATCTTCAAATATTCTTGTGGGGAAGCTGCCCACTGGTCCCTTGTCCTGTATACCTATGGAATGGGGGCTAAAGTATAAGGAGGTGTGGCCAAATTTTTTTACTAGATTTGTTCTGACAAGCTTAGACTGTGCAAACTGTTATTTATAGTTTCAAAGTTCAAAACAGAGCGAAATTCTTAAGCTCATCTACCAAATCATGAATTCGGAATGAAATTCATTTAATTTCACAATCAAAAGTACAAGTTTTTAACAAAAACCAGTGGTAACTCCAAGTTGTCAAGGATAATCTAATTTGGGTCATGGTAATCCGCACAGTTTACTGTTAAATGAAGTATTGCACACGAAAACACATAAACAATTACATACTGTGTAAATTTCACAATGGCTTCGCATAGTCCAACATTGCGAATCTGCTTTTCAATATCCTCCTCAGGTGGAAGGTAAAGAAGAATCTTCTCTTTTTCCTAAGTAAATATTTTTGTATATTGTCTTTGTATATTTCTAGGTTCAAACAACTTGACAAACTTTTGAATTTGACATTATGCCTTTGAATTTTTCTTTTTGTCTTTTGGTAAAAATATCAGTGAACTTTTCTTGCGCAAACATTTCAAGGTAGGAACATAATTTGGCACATTATTGAACAAAGTAGTTTTTATCTTGATTTTGAACCTGTTTACTAGAACAAACAATTCATTTACAGAAACACCCGATGGCATTTATAAAAATTTTAGCATGAAGCAAACCTTTGCACACCATCATCATGATTGTTCATAATCTGTCAAATTGTCCAGACTAGCTGTTTAATACAGGTATTTTTTATTGTACGACATGTAACCAAGAGTTCATTAGTTAATCCTGCAATGCATTTGATTTCAATATAGCTCTGTTCTTAATATTTGCTTCATATTTTCAGAAAAATACCGTGAAAAATCCTCCATTTCTTGAAGATAAACTCAGTTGAAACAGGAAGTTTTAAGATATGCATATCTCGATAAGAATTGGTTGCTTTGTCTAGTCTAGGAAGCGATTAAGTAAAGAACAAATAAGACTGGATAAACAAAACTTAAATTATAACTTAGAAGTAAAAACTTTCACAAAATAAATACCATCACACTTCAAGTATTGACTTAAAACAAAACACTGAACACTTTAAATAGTAAACAATCTTACGTTGCTTACCGGTGTCATGAAATGTTTCCTTTTCTAGCATTACTTCAACATCCGTATACCAAACAAGTTTGCAGCATGTTTTAAAGATAAAATTTCTAAAAGTTTTTGTTCTTGGCATTGATATTTTATATAATCGCAATTGTGGTTGGCAAATCCGGGTGGGCGAAAAAAATTATATTTCATGAGCCCGCGTCTTTCCGCTGACTTTGACAACCAAAATCCGCCATGTTTTTGACCACGCGGCCGCGCGCTAATAATTTATAGTAATTTGGTTGACATTTCCCCTCCAGGTCTTATAGAACTCAATGGATATATCCCCAGTATAGTGCTAGTCGGGAGTCTAGAACTAATTTCAAAAATTCGAAAATGGCTACAAAATTATTGAAGGAAGAGAAGCCTACCCAGCTCCGTTCTACCTCGAACGTTGACCTCATAACTTGCTGTTTCGAAACTTTAAAAATCAACGTTTCGTCTTGTACGGTCCTATTTCATCCTTTTCAAAGATAGCTGAGTGAGGTTTTTAGTTTTCGGTTTTTCCTTTTCTTTGAGTGAAAAGCGATTTTTTACATAGATCTCATTACCAAATTATGCATTTTTATAGAAATTCTCCACTGAGCTCTTTTATTTAAGATTCAGGATGCTATTTTGTCTGAAATTTGAATTAAAGTCGATCCTCACTTTGATCTTCACTTACAGCAAAAGATTATCACAACTTTCCGTGCTTGTTTATTTATGCTAACGCTTGTGTTTATAGAACGTTGACCTTACTCTGGAAAATATGTCTGCAAATGCCAAATAACACGCAAATTTGGGGTTTATTGCCTAAAGCTATTCTTAAACTACAGAACTACGTAGATAGTTGGAAATAGTTGGGGACACCGGGGATAGTTGAAAATTAATTTTTGCGTTTTTTGTGGGGACTTCAGAAAATGACTAATATATTTTTTAATTGTAAAAAAAATATTCTTGAAAATTTTGCCTCTTGCCGGTGCAACCGCTTTTAGTATTTAAGTGAATCTCTACGTATATTCTTAATACAAGTCTTTGTAGATTGGATTTTTTATATGAATGAATGCGCTATATATTCCAGTGCAAGATCAGAATACTAGAAATGTCTACGGCAATATGAGTATGCAACTTCTAATAGTCTCATGCTATTCCTGCTACAAGTCTATGTAGATTGAATGCGCTTAACAATACAGTTTTCAATGAATAAATGTCATTACATCCAAGTACCATGCATCAAATTAAATGTTTAAATGTATGTTTTTTCTCGTGCACCCTTTCTGCCTCATCTATCCTTGGGTTGCTCGAGTTTTTCTTCAGCAATATGCTCCTCGCGTTTCTTCTTGAGGAGAAGATTGCTAGGCATGTTGGGAATGGCGTATGCAAGAAGGCCTTTGAACACCGACATCGTGAACTGAAAGAAAAATATGAATACGAAGCGACCGGCCATTACTTCCGAATGTTGTGCTGTGTAGTGGTCCGCGTTGCCAAAAGTTCTGTAACCAGTGTATCTGCAATGTTTAAAATAGATACCAAATAATTATTAGCTATAAAAATCAACACAATTTGCATATTCATTTTGTATGAAAGCCAAAATCAAATCTGTGTCTCTCAGTCAAGGGGAACTCGTTAAAGCAATTTATTACCCAAAAATAAACTAGAACCTTGTGTACTAGATATATTATGACTTCACCAAAATTCTATATTTACGAATGGGTTAAGTCACCTTCTTGAACGGTGGCAAACTGACGATATTTACGAAAAATATCTGCTTTTCCAGAGTTTATATAAAGTTACAAAGTCCATAGTCTAGATTTGTTTTTTAAAAAGTTTGATAGGACTAGTTTTTTATACTTCCTTTGAACTTGTTTTTTATTTTGTGTTTTGCTTTTGGCTTCCTTTGAAAATGGTGTCCTTGCCTCACCTTGACAGATTAGAGGGTTGGGTTCTAAGTCATTGATAACCAAGAAGTTGTGAGAAATGAGAAGCAAAAATTCTGATAAAATAATTGCTGAACTGCCTAGAGACGCACGCATTTAAGGAACGCCAATCCCATTAAACATTTTTGTTACGACATTGCATTTGTCCGAATGGACTGTTTTGAACATTAGACATCATTTTCACATTAACCTTTTACGTCTCAAGTATTTTGGTCCTTTAAGTTTCGAATTGTTTACTTAATATTGCCATACGGCAACGCTGGGTGACAAAGGGCTAAAAAATGCCAATGAGCTTTCATTCAGCCGACAAAAGGCATAAAAACACATGAACAATTCTTGAAGAGTGCTTTGGTCTGATGATAATGAGAATACTGACCTACAGTAATCCGGAATAGAGATATTTCCAACTTTACATTGCTTCCGCGGTTTCGACTCATTGTTCCATAAGGTGGTGTTGTAATATGACAGACTGTTGTTCAAATAGCCGTCGAGTGATTTGTCAGGGCTGTAACTGTATTTATATACCATCTTTGGGATGAAGTCGGAGGTAAACGCTATTACAAATGCATTTACAAGAACAAAGAATGCAGAAAGGGCTTCGAGGATCGGGTACCAGGCGCCAATATCCTCAGCCATCTTCGGAAATGGTCGTTGCTGGTTGCGAATGAATTTGATGGCGTCAAAACGGATTTTCATAATGCCATTTATGAATGCAAAAAACGGAGCCAATGGGAATGCAGCAACAAACATCATAACAAAACCGAGCTGTAAGACTACAAAGGAAGGTGAGAAGATGGTGTCAAATTAGGATTGTGCACTGAGCTGAATTTATAACCGGAAAGATATCTTCTGGTAATGCCTGCCTGTACTTGAACGAAGCCAAATTTTACCTGGAAGTAATTCCCCTATTTATGCATTGTAGTAAAGTCCCGTATTATACCTGACTGCCCCAATTGCCGGGAGTGGGAAGATATGAACTGGTTAAATGGCTGCTTTCAAATTTGAAGGAGAGAGTCTTCAAGCTATGTCGAGTCCATGATATTATATATAATGAAAATGCTCTTCCAGGCATACTTGCCTTGGTTGAGCGAATATTCGGATTTAGCCAGTTTTTTTATGATGAAAGTCACTACAGTATAAAATATCTAGTGGGGATATTGGAAAAATTTATAGAGATTAAAACATGACACCATCAAATAATATATTGGACAAAACCTTTGAACGACAAAAGAAAAATTTTCACGGTTGTAACACAGTAGCAATGTAAGCGAGATCTTTTGATACCTACCAACTTGCAAGTACTCCCAGAACAATGTTCCTTCCGAAGCAGTAAGAAAATAATCTTGTTCCCATTGTGGTAAATGTGGTATGCTTTCTTTTTGCGTGTTACGTTCACTCCACAACTTCCTCAAATAGCTAGAACAAAGCCAAAAGTTTTATTTTAACATTTTTTATATAATATAAGTTTAATGAAGTGTAAATTGATGCAGTGGCGGACCTAAGGTAGGTCAAAATGAGTTACTGCACTTATATTTCTAAGTACCTTGGAAGCAAATCAACTGATAAAATAACATTCTTTAGAAATTCAAAACCAATAGTGTTTTTCTGAAAGTACTTTGAATTTAAAAGTGAGCAGCAATGATATATTTTGACAAACGCTAGATCTGCTACTGGATTGATGTAAATATAAGCCATTAGCAAAATAGAGCTGCATGTGAAAAATAAATTTCACAGTTATCAAGAGCAAATCACCTAAAAATGTGGAACAGCAGGGAACTGTTGTTTTATACCTCGCAATCTGGGTCTCAGTCAATAAGTAATTAATATATGTGTTATGTGTGTAAAAATGGCTTCAATGACTTTAATGAAACACTTACAGTATTATTACTTCAGTAACGTTGCTAATGATTTGCTGTCCCACCATAATTATAAACAATTGTATGCATAACTCTACCAAGCATCCTTGTGGTCCGCACGTGTCTAGACGCCAGTCTTTCACACCAAAAGGTCGGAAGTAATGTCCGGGAGTGCCCACAAACAGGTTGATCTTGAAGAAAGCAATGTAGAACAGAGAAGAGTACACGTTCACAAATTGGTAGATGTACATTTTCACCGTGTAGCTGTCGTCCCAGTCCGTCTGAGTACGCGGATTCTGCCAGTTTGTAAGCCAATATGCAACGTACTGATACAAAAACTTGAGGATATTAATGAAGATGAGATTAAGGACAGCCGCCGTCATGGACGTGAGGACTTTGGCGTTTTTGCGAATACTTTCATCTGAATTCTTTGCAGCAGACGCATAAACAGCCGTTCGATATAGAACAACACCGATCACAACAGATATAACTAGAGTAATCATGAAAGTAACGATGCTGATAACACCTGCGTACTTCCTGAAGATAGTCGTCCTCGGTGTGTACGGCTCCATACGATTAGTGACCGGGTTTTCACAAAGTGTTGTAACGACCGCCGCATACTCTGGTCTGACTTGTTCCTCCACCTTTTCAAAATCAGACGTATGCCATTTATAAGAAAGGGTCACCTGTAGACGTTTCCAAAGCTCTACAAAGAGCGTTGACCATATAGACATAATAAAGGCAAAGGCAATGGTGAAGTTGTTGTCGAAGAAATGCGCTACGCGCATATACGTACAGGAATCTTTTAGAGACCAGTAACAACATTGTTTATCGCAAAGTGGACACATTACGTAATCGGTCTGGTCACTGTCACAAACATCCTTCACAGGAGGGAAGCTGTAAGAGTCGCCAACTCCGTAAAGGAACGCTATGAAGCCAAGGAAGGCAACAGGTGCTAACATTGTGCAATAGAAACCAAGCCAGGCAAAGTACAGTGCAATAGATGTTCCAAGGTAATCTTTAATCGAGTCAAGCGGCTGATACTTGTACCATTTTCTAAAGCGAGCCCACTCCCATCGCAATCGCTGGCGTTGATTTTCTGGCTTACCACCTTCTGGGACCTAAAATTAAGCAAGGAGAAATGTTAAAAGAATTTGGAACTTTGGATAACATGCATAAGCATCGTCAAAATCAATGAAAAGTGAACAGTTTGCTATTTTTCTTACAAAAGCAAAATAATGTTTTTATAATGTTTTATTTTGATTTCTCAAATTCACAAACGCGTGCGACGCTCAAACACAGCAATATTTATTGAAAAAAGACAGAAGTTTTCATTAGCAGTTTTAAGAAATAAATCAGAGATCTACATTTTCAACGATTTCATTCATGTCAATAGGAAATAGTTTCTTTATCATTAAGCATATAGATTTTAATTTTTGTTGTTTTCTTAGGCGATGGGCCTGGTGACGAGAATCTCTGCTTAACATACAAATCCAAGCGAACACTAAACCGCTTCTTGACAGTGTTTGATTAATACAGGTTTGATTGCATAAAAAACATCGGTTAAAATACGATTTACTTTAAGGGCAGGATCACGAAAGACGGCAAATATTTGAATTCTTTGCCATGGTATCATTTGTTTTCTTTGCTAATATATCAAATACGCCACAATCCATTCATGTAAATGATGTAGTTGATGTAGTTTATTAAACTATTAATGCATGACGAGAAATGACCATTAAAAACTTTTCGAATTATTTCTACAGAAAAAGTGCACACGATCTTTAAGCAACAATCTCATTTCTCAATTTTCAATGATAGAAATACAACACTATTACAGCTTGTTCATAGCTTGTTTCATTTCTGGTATTTTTACCCAATGGGTGAAGCGGCAAGGAGATGCGTGCCAAAGAGAAAACGAAGTTTTAGTTGTTAAAAATTTTCGCTCATTATTCGTTCTACAGATCTCATCAAACAATACACCTACGCGGAGTCTTAAATTTGTAGGGCATATTTTGAAGAAGATTTACTATAACAGTGTTTTTCTGTATAATAAAAGCTACATAATCAATGCATGAGTTTTCCTATGTGCGTCACTTCCGGTGCAGAGTCAACTACTTCTAGGCCCAAAAAGCCCATGAAAATAAATTTCAATCCATCAAGTCTATTGAAAATGTTCTTAAAATCAAGTTATCTATTTAAAGAAGTTATTTCCCTGAACCTCGTTTAGGCATTTGAAAAAATTGAAGCAATAAAGACTGTAAACAATGAATACAACGCTAACCTCACACGGTCCGTCGTGCAATGGATAAATTCCCTTGAACGCGTTGGTGAACTTCAAATTAGCAATACCGACAGCCTTGTTCAAGTCCTCCGAGGCCTCGAATGGCGTCTGTCCCATGATTCTTTCAACCATGCGGACACGGTCGGTGGAAGTAAAGAATGTATCATGGTTATCAATGCCCACAAACTCGGCCTCATGCTCCTTTGTAAAGTACGCCGTGAAATAAATAACGTCGTCTGGTGTAATATGTCTTTCGTATTCTAAAGGATTTGCATTGTTGAATTTTGCCACAAACTGCTCGCCAAACACGGTTTCAAGTGTCGATGGAATTTTTATGTCCGATTTTTGCAAGGGCATGCGCAGAAACATCTCTTCGGCCATTTTGGTCAATACGTCCCAAGGTGCATGAATCTTGACAAAAAACGTCTTTGGCTTCTTGTTGTTGTCATTTGTGTCCTGTTAACGGGAAAAATTTGCTAATCATAAGCCTAGATATGAAAAATACATAAATACTTTTAAAAAAATACTTTAAATTTCTAAAGAAGTGCAGGTAATAATTTAAATAAATAATGCCAATGATCTAAAATTTACATAGCACGAACAAACATGCGGGCTGGCTAGCCCACTGGGTCTGGAGGTGATTATACTTTCTTTAAACTTATGAAAATTTAATTTGATATCATTGAAATAATATAAAATAAAAAATATACTTTATAAAATACAAAACAACAGTGACTTCAATTTGTAATTTTATTGCTAATTATATAATTTTGTAATTCTTGTCGTTTAGTAAATTTTGTAATTTAGTACCTTTTGTACTTTAGTAATTTTGAAAATTGGTAAGTGAAAACGACGACATTTCAGTAGCTATTTACAATTTAGTTGATAGCTTTCTGCTCTGAAGAATTTTTTTTCAATCTTATATATCTTGACAAGAATGCAAATTTCAGGCAAGTGAAGCACATGATGAAAGCACTGGTTTGGGCGTGCGCAAGACGTCATGTAAGCATATGGTTTTGGGCAATCTTGGCGTAAGTTTTAACCACGCATTGCAGACACTTTTAAACATTTATTAACTTATTATATTTATCTTTCCCCTTAAACAGGGGAAAGGTCAAAGTCGTTGTTTAAGACCTTATTTACATTACTATCGTTTATAGATATAAAAGTACAACAAACTGTCATACAATTAACAAGTAAGCTTAAAAGATTGACTTAGAGGACTCTACAGAAGATTGTTTTAGAAGACTAAATATCCCTTTAATTTTTAATAAACAGCAGGATAAGCTAGACATAAATATTGTTTAGAATTTTGATATTAAAACATCGAGCAAAATCATCGATAAAAATCATTCATGCAATGAAAGAGACTTCAATATTGAATTGGCAGCAAACCTCAGCGTTTTTCTTTATTTTTAATTGGTCAATCTCAATGAGAAGACCTTTAGCCTTCAAACCGTCGATGTAGAATTCGCGGATTTTGTTTTTCTTATCTTCTTCTTTTATTTCATCCTCATCTTTCAGAGTGGATGGGTCTGGAATCTCGTATACCATAATCATATCGACCATACTGTGTCCATCTCGCATTTTGTTCTTCGATACCTCGTTGTCCACAGAAGTATGAAAACACAAATATATTATATATTGTTCCCTCTTTTTCCCATAGATTCAAAACATTCTTATGTAATTTGTAACTATACACCGTAATTAATACCCTAACTTCGGTCATCTAATTTGTAACTACAAGGTTAAATAGTTGGAATGTTATAAAACAAAAAGAATGATAACACAACGCTATAACCAACATCTACAAACAATAATGACCTTATCTAACAACATTTGAATAATTAACCTTTCGCTCCTCTTCCTTGTAAACAAGACAAGTCTACTTAAAACTAGAGCCTTATACGCTACGGATTCATTCTTTTCCAGTGGAAAGCGGGATGCTTTCACTGAAGGGCAATGATGTATTGTCTAACATTAACACCGGATTATGTTACTGTTCATTTAATATGGAATTCGAGCTTTGTCCATATGAACTGTTTAGCATGCTCCCAAACAAAAATGAGCAGGAATGTTCAGTTGGTTAATCTATGATAAACCTTTCACCTTTTAACTCAGCTATACCGGTCACAAGTCCGGGACTTGTAGCGTATAAAGGCCGATCTCCACTTCGACCGTACCGTAGCGTAACGTAGCAAAACGCGACGTAGCGTATCGTATGCATATACGTGTTACATTCTCCACTTTGGCGGTTAGCGAAACGAAGCATGGCGCGAATCTTGATTATAATCATAACATGGCGGTTGTCAGTAAAAACACACTTCTTCTTTTCTTGTTAAAAAGAAGGATGACTAAAGGAAATAAAAATAAAAAGTCAGTATGGGTACGAAAAATATTTCAAGAACGCAAAACTAAAGGAGAATTCTATTTATTAGTCCAAGATTTACGATTATTTGATGAAGAATTTTTTTTCAAATATTTTCGTATGACTCCTGTTCAATATGAAGAACTTTTGACTATGATTGCTCCAGAGATACAGAAGTCTTGCATAACTCGGGAATGTATAGGGCCTAGTGAGCGACTTTGTGTAACACTCAGGTATTAACTACAGGAGATTCTCAAACAACCATAGGGATGAACTTTTGAATGAGCCCAACCACTGTTGGACGAATCATCTTTTCAACATGTGAAGCACTGTGGAAAGTACTGTCATTGGTATTCATGAAATGTCCAAGCAATGAGGCAGAGTGGAAGTGCATAGCACAGGGGTTTGAAATTAAATGGAATTTTCCCCAGACTGCATTGGTGCGCTTGATGGAAAACACGTCGTGATGCAGGCACCAGCTAACTCTGGATCGATGTTCTTTAATTATAAGAAAACCCATTCTATTGTCTTAATGGCTGTTTGCAATGCAAACTCCCAGTTCACATTGGTTGATATTGGTGACTCAGGACGGAATAGTGACGGTGGTGTATTTTCTTACAGTACAATGGGTGAATCAATTAAGAAAAACAGTTTAGGCATCCCTAGGCCCGAGGCATTCCCTTCCACTCAAAAATGCTATCCATTTGTCATAGTGGCAGATGAGGCGTTTCAGTTACAGCAAAATATCATGAAACCGTACCTAGAGAAGCCTTGGGAATATCTGAGCGGGTATTCAATTATCGGTTGTCTCGAGCGAGGAGGGTAATTGAAAATGCGTTTGGAATTGTAGCAGCACGATTTCGGGTATTTCGTCGACCAATTCACGCCAGAGTTGAAATGGTTATTCAAGTTACAAAAGCAGTAATCGCTCTGCACAATTATCTTATGGCTGGAAGGTCTTTTTTGCACAACACAAAATACTGTCCAGCTGGTTTCGTGGACAACGACACAGAAAACGGAAGAGAGCTTGGAGAATGGAGAAAAGTGACACAATCAGATGAGGGTTTAAGAGATGTCAGCAACGCTGGGTCAAACAACTACTCTCGTGATGCAAAGCTTGTTAGAAGATTTTAAAACTACTTCATGTCCCCAAAAGGACAAGTACGCTGGCAGTGGAACGCAGTACATGCTACAGTTGATTGTTTTCAAAACGAAGATTAACTAAATCAAAGAATCATTTATTAGTTTTGTCACTGTTTTTATAACATAACGTGGTAGTTAACGCATGCAAACGTAAAGTTATTTGTAACAATAAATTTCTTGAAAAAGTTTATGGAAAAAACATTCTGTTACATTTCGTCATCATCTTCAAACTCAGCAAGAACTTGCAATACTTTGATCTTAGCCAATTTGTTTTTCTTTCCTGTCAAATTCCTAAAGGTAGTAACCAAACTGGAACAGAAAAGAATGTCCTGGTCTTCTGGGTTAGTTCTCTTTTTTGAATCACCATTTTTAGCATTTGCTATATCATTGGCAAGGCTTAAGGCCAAAAGATCGTCAATCTGATCTGATCGCCTTTTCCGAGTCTTTTGAAGAGGTTTTGAGTCTGAAATTTCAAGTTTTGCATGGGAATTGTCCACAGTGATTGATGAAAATGATGTAAATGGTCTATCCTCATCGGTGGAGAGCACATCAGGATTCTCGGCAATTTCAATTGGGACGTTGGTTTCAGTTTTTCGTCCAGTCATCACATCACGCAAAAAGGACAACTCAACGAAATATTCATAAGTTGGCAATTTCTTACTTGCCCCACTCCCTGACCGTGTCGCCAACTCTTGCTTTTTAATGCATCTTCTATATTTATCCTTCAGCCTGTCAAACTCTTTACAAACTACATTGTCTAGATTTAGAAAAATAAAAACCTGTATATCAAACTTTGTTCAGTGCATTTGTTAGAAGATGTTATGCCCTTCATAACCATAGTTGTTTAGTAGCCAATTGCAGAGCCATAGCCAAAACAATAAATGGGGAGTGTGTTTATTCTTATATTCAGTAGCGTCAGACTGATTCCTTTTGAAAATGATTTGGCTTTCTAAAGAAATCAGTCAAGCTCAAATAAATATATGAAAAAACAAACCTCCCCTCTCCCCATTTAGTTCTCTAGCTATGGCCCATGCCAATTGACTTAGTTTTAACACTAATAAGAAGGCATGCACAAGTATTTCTTACAGTCTGACACTTCCTATATTTTAAACTATATGCCATAAACGCCATTGCCTTAATTCAGAATCTAAGCCAAGGGGGTTGGGCAAGTCATCATGATAAAATTTTGCAACACTTTTAAACTGTTCTTTCCAATCAATTCCTTTGTCCGACAGAGTCATCATTTTGACGGGAACGATAGATAATCCGCGGTACACATTAACACTATCCAAGTTAAACCTAGTGCTCAAAGATGTTTGAAGATGGTCTAATAACGGAATAGCGATGGTTAGTTTATAATGTTCTTTGAATGATTGACTGGGGGGATTAGATCGCATAGTTTGTCTTCCAGCAATTCGCTTTTTTGTTTCTTGAACGTTCACCTCTTCAGCAAGTTTTAAAGCCTCTTCATACCAAGTGTTATGATAAAAATTAATGCTTTTCCTCATGTTGGCTACATCATTCTTCAAAGTGGTTATCAAATGAAAACCATCCATAACATCAATAGTTTTTCCCTGCAACAATTGCGTGACTGGAAGAGTCGCATCAAGAATATTTCTTGTAATAACTAGAGCAACAATAAAATGAAATTGAGTAACTAATGAAAGTAACTGGGAAGCATCAGCAGCAAGGGAAGGCTTCACCTCTCACTTACATTGTTTATCATGTCCTGAAGAGTGTCGATTAAAGGAATAAACAATTGTTGAAACGTGTCAAGACCGTCAACTCGCTCAACCCATCTGGTTTTACAAAGACTTACCAGTTTTGCCTTCTTGGTCCGAACATCTGACTTTTTAACATGCACAGCAAAGGGTATGTTGCGTGTCTGTGATATGTTGATAAAATTGGCTGCTTGAGAAACAACAGATAACATGTTATTAATTTCAACGTTAGAAAGAGTGTCACAGACACACAAATTTAGTCGATGACTGTAACAGTGAGTGTAAAGAGCTTTAGGATTAGTTCTTAAAATGTGGGCTGCTAAACCATTTATATGCCCAGAAACAGCCCCTGCACCATCATAACCTTGTCCCCTGCAATCCATAATGGGTAAGGCAAATTTCTCTAGAGTTTCTAAAATAAGCTTTGAAAGTTGTTGACCACTCAACCCCCATTTGCAATGCAGGAAACACATGAACTCTTCTTTAACATTCATTGAAGAGTCAACAAACCGTAGAACAAGGGACAATTGCTCTTTGTGAGAAGAATCAGCAGCTTCATCTGCAATGATAGAATAATATCTATTTTTTTTTGTCTCGTTTATAATATCTTCTGATATTACCTGACCAATACAATTGATGATTTTGTTTTGACTGGTCTTGGAAATATAACTTTTATTCTTGCCACATTTGAGCAAATGATTTTTCAAAGTTTGATCACCAGCTCTAACTCTAAAATTTAAAGATTCAACAAAATTACAAACATTGCCATTGACTGAATAGCAACCGAACTCTGGGTGAAATTGAGCATCATCACAATGACCTCGTAATCCAATGCCAAGCCTTCCACAAAAAAGAACTGTATCAACAATTTGCTTAAGAATTTTCCTATTTTGCTCAATTTCAAGTTTTATGTTAGTATCTAAGATATTTTCAATAAGTTGAGCTACACCTGACATTTGAGATCGTATATTATTAAAAATTGGAGAAGTAAATGCATGTAGTCCCATTTTTCCCCCTTACAATTTCCAGCATGTCGCCTAAATGTACCTACAGCATCATTCCAAAAACGAAAAGGTGAACGAAATAGCTTGCTTATTCTCGAGCATTTACTGGGGAATTGATGTCCAAAAAGAACACATGATAAGCAATAAGCACCATCTTCCTTTGGTGAATAACACAGCCAGGTAAAATCTTTGAGCCATTCATATTTAAAAGACCTTTTATTGTTCTCACTTAAAGGAGGAAAAGTGTAATTTTCATCTGGTTTAAAAACATTTTTAATAAGCAAACAAATATCAGACATTTTCAAACCTTTAGCTCTTTCGTAGTAAGTAGCTACATCAAAATTGTGACCAAAGTTAGGCTTTACCTGTAAATCTTCAATGGTTTGTTCAGAAACCCTGGTACAAGAAACCTCACTTGTAATGATTTGGTTTTTCCATTTTTGAAAAAAACTTACTGATATTCCCAGACTTTTTTTCTGCTTTTGCTTTTTTAGAAGGCACTGGGCATGTTGGACCAGAAATTGTCCTTTTAGTTTTGCTAGGAAAAAAACTAGAGGAATAAAATGATTAGGTTGGAAACATTGATCTGATTTAACTACCCCTTTATAACAAAACAAAAGATGAATTGCATCGGCTGATTCTTTAACTATTCTTCTTGGACAAACGAGAGAGTTGAATATTGATTTAGGCCGGCTCTCTCCACACCTGGGTAAAAATTTTTGTCTCCAACACAGAAGAAAGAGCTAAAATGCATAGAAATGATGACCACTTTTGGTCATGACAATTCAAAAAGGCCTCCTTTTTGACAAGATCAACACCTACAAAACCAGAATCTAGACAGTCTTGAGATACTGTCAAAGGTAAAATATTCTTTGAGGTGTTGTTGAATTCTTTATGCTGTTCAACAATTGAGGAAAATAAAGGATGTTGGCAGTAAAAAGTAGCATTCAAAAACAGCTCAAGTGATGTTAACTGCCTCAAAATATGCAATAATCTGTTATCACCTGCCAAAAGCAATGACACTGAACTGTAGAGACAGTTGCCAGATACTTCTTATCTAAATTGGATAAAAAAGTCGTGTTCCTATTAGCAACAAAAAGTCATCCAACAAAAATTTAACTAACTGGCCAGGAATTATCTAACATAGCTACGTAGTTACATGTAGAAGATAATTCAAAGTTCAAATATAAATTCACTATTCGCTGAATTTATGTCAATATTTATAATAAAATTAAAAGCCCAAGCCGTAGATTTTCAGTATACAATGCACAAAATGAAATCTGCTTCATTAAAATTCATACAACAGTCAATAGACAAAAACCACATCTCATAGTCGCATAAATTGATATTAATGGCTGGATACCTTAAGGCCATGCATACATTTCCTTTGTCCTCGTGTTGCTTACGCACTCTCTGCTCAATGATGTTTCGCCTTTCAAAAGCAATGATAAAAATTACGCTCTCGGCATTTTAGTCGCCCCACAATATTCCTCATTCAAACGCAATTTCAATTCATTCAGTGATTTATCATTCTCTTGCGAAATTGCAGTCTGAACAGCAGCATACATATCAATATTTAACATTGTAGTTTGTAAATGATTTTCCAAATAAATGCAATGAAACAGATTATACGAACCACGCTAAAGTGAATCACAATGCGATGATCTATCTCGCATTCCAGACACCACTCTTGACTATGTTAGTTCAGTTGGCTATCATTCGAAATCCGTCAAACCAATCACAATATAACAAAAATTCAAATGAACTAATTGCAAGATAGCAATTGGACTCCCTTATACGTCCGGCCACCCTTATTATCAGTCGAGACCATTCCAGACTGTCCACTGATCTGGCCATTGACCAATAAAATAAGCGTTTTTGGCGTTGATAGACTCTTTTATCCGTCGAACCAGTCAAGCCACCCCGCTTATCAGTCGGTTATTCCAGGTCAATTAAAATTCAACTGATCTGGTAACCAAGGAGATATTCATTGGATAGTCATTAGTTTTCAATACTAAATAAAGCCTAGGCCACACTATCGTCCATATCGACGAAAATTAGAACGAAAACTTCCGCAACGAAAATTTTGAACGAAAACTCGACAAAAATTTCGTTTTCTATGGCAAGCCATTTCGGAAATAAGGTGGTCGAGAAAAAAATCTCCGTTGAGAAAGCAAACCGATGTTGAGAAACACGTGTTTATCATTGAGAATTTGCAGATGGTAGTTCAGAAAAGCAAATATCCCGGTCGAGAAAAAAATCCCGGTCGAGAAAAAAATCCCGGTCGAGAAAAAAATCTCCGTCGAGAAAAAAATCTCGGTCGAGAAAAAAAATCTCTGTCGAGAAAAAAATCTCGGTCGAGAAAAAAATCTCGGTCGAGAAAAAAAATCCCGGTCGAGAAAAAAATCCCGGTCGAGAACCAGTGCACGCACTACCTAAAGATTGGACATGAGACAGACGAGGGCTGTCATGTAGCACTGCATATTTGGTACTAATATGAGTTTGGCACTACTTTCAACAGCATAATCATCAGCACAATTCATCACCGCATTCAACTGAAATTTATTGATAAAAACAATAAAGCAATAAAGTCCTGTTGAGGGACTTACTCCCCTTTCTCTGCCTGGTCTATTTTGAATGATAAATTTTAGTTGAATATGATGATAATTATTGTGATGACTGTTGTGTTGAATGTGGTGCCATGTGTGGGTGCCCATCGTGGTGCCAAATTCACAGTAGCAATTGTAAGATGGATGCGAATGCGAGTAACGGGTCACCAAGAGCAGGTCAACTTATTAACAACATTTTAGCTCGAGTCGAAGAATTGTCAGAAGTTATTTCACCATGTCGTAAAAACTCTGAATTATCGTCTATAAACGAGGAAGTGGCGCGATCTTTTAATCGCGGAGGCCGAGGACACGACATAAATTTACAACAATCAACAGCAATGTCGAGCACAGGTACCAGTTTAGCCACCGTTTCGTCCATAGAACCAAGGCAATATTTTCCTGCTATGAAGTATAACAAGGGAATTTTGAACAGCAGCAGCTCCTCAAGGAAAAAGCAATCAAAAATGAAGAAGGGGTCAAGTGGTCCTTTCATACGAGACATAGTCCTTTTGTCAGGACCAAATGTAAACGTTGTCCCCCGCCAAAGTGCAAGAGTCAATCTAGTGGAAAATGGTCATATTATTTTAGGCTTCCAGCTGATGAAAGAATGGAAGGGATATGAAATAGAGATGCATGTGAGAAATGCGTTTGGTGACAAACTAAAAGATCACAATATAGATATTGAAATCGTAATGTCGGTCCACAATACATTGCATCCACCCTGTCTTGCACCGAACCAAACCTTAAATGGCTTCATGGTGCACAAAGTGATCAAAGATAAACCAATTTATGTCAGGCCATCAGTACAAATATTGGAACCATTAAGCAACAGAATCAACAAACCTGAACATTTGAATGATCAAGAGCATCTGATGCGCGATATATTTTTTGCTACTTTGGCTAGCAATATTGTGATGCATCACACGACATCACACTATCACACTCGAATGACGTAATGTCCGCAGTGTCGCATTCGTCTTTCTCCCGAAAATACTCGATGAAAACTCTCCTCACTGACAATTTAACCCATTCCGTTTATTTTTACGTCTTAATACTCAATAATTCGAGCGAAAAAAGTTTGCAAAACGCTTGCAAATATCGAGCAAGAGTCTGCCATTATATTTACAATTTTGCATGGACAATTATATGATATGTCACCTATAGCAGTGTAGGTAGGTTCTTAGCCAATTACAATCGAGATTGCATAATTTGCATAATAATAGTATTTCCCATGACTTCTGACTGGGAAAAGCCAAAGTCATTTCTAACTGGTCACTGGGGAAAGCCGAAATCATTTCTGACTAGGAAAAGCTGAAAATATGTCGAAGCGCAGGCGTAACAAATTGTCAATCGGTTGACGATTTGCGAAAAGATGTCAACGAGTAACTACATCAAGAATATGTGGGGTCGAGGATATTAAGTGATATCCAATCTATTAATTTGAAAGTTTGCAATGATCTAAATGTTGATGTAATTCTGTTTGTTCTTGTTTTGAAATATGGGTTGTCACTTGTGTGCTCTATTGCCAATGTTGCGTCTTCTTTGCTTGTACTCCCCGTGAATGTACGTAAAGAAGTGTTGGCTTTGGTATGTCCCAATTTAGAAGAAGAAGATGGAAATGTTCTTTTACAGTCCGCTTCTAAATTAAAAGTTCCTAGTACAACAGATAGGAAGTTGCATGTATTTACACCTCCATGCTCCAAATGTATTAAGTGCAACCATGATCTTGTGAGCTACAATAAGCCAGTAAAAGTTCAGGTACACGATGTTTCTGGAACTACCAATGGAGTGAAAGTTTCGCTTAGATACAATCGCTGTAATTTGCTTTATGGATATTCCAAGTACGGTAATGGGAAAGATGGCTGGATGCTATATCCCAAACAAAGAAAAATGATCGAGGCTACGGATGTCTGTTTTGTTGATTCAACTTTGCTTCAGTGGCAGCTGTCACTCGCGTAAGTTACAATATAATCACTTGATTAATTAATGTTAAAATAGCAAGTAGATTTTACAAATGAAACATGTTTTCTATAGTTGTCATTCTTGGGTATCATTTAACGGTTTTTCTGAAGCGTTTAATAAAGTATACAATGGCAGTAAGAGAACGATATGTTGTATATCTGTATTACTGTTATCACGTTGTTACAGTTTTTGATGGTAAGCATTATTTGCGTTTTATATAAAGATTTTGGAGAGAAACAAGTTGCTGCTTCATTTTGGGTCGGCGAGATGGAGAATGAGTTGAGAGAATTGGGGCAACTGGACTTATTTGGTTTGCTTAAAGAAGATGGGAACTCTTCTAGAGTTTTAGAACAAATCGACAAAATTAGGGCGAGAAGTTTGTACGAGCATACATCAGATGATTGTTCTGACACTTGCAAAGAGCGCGGTAAGTTAGATGCAATTGTATTTTAAAATTAGTTTAAAAGCTATAAATATATTCTATTGGAAAATAGCTGTGATTCTCATCAGGCTAAGATATTTTCGTAATCAAACTTATAGGATGTGGAAGGCTATGGGTTGCCGATGGAATATGGAAATTAATGTTTCCTCATTGCATGATGCGTAGAAAGATATTTATCTTAGTTTGATATAACATTACTCCTTTGCTTTTCGTAACTTAATAATATTATATGAAATTGTTTTCAGAATTTTGTAAAAGGTATTCCATTGCTGAACTATCCTAATGTATGCACTGAGTCGCCTCAGAATGGAAAGGCATTCTGCGAACAGCATGTGCAATATTTGGAAAAAAACTCCCCTAATGTACCCACTAGTGTGCGTGGATTTTTAAAATATTGTGGTGTGAAGCCAAGTAACATAGGTATGTACTCCAAAATTGGCATGACTATAATCATGCTTGAGAATAAAGTCCGATTTTTCATGATCAATTCGAGATACATTAACAGAGCTTTTACACTTAATCACAACTGCTCTTGCTTTGGTATATAGTATTTTGCAGGGAAATTGGTACCCCTTTCTCTAAATTTATCTCTGTGCTCAATGATATGTGTATTACAGAGCTGACAGAAAATTACTACAAAGAATTACTCTATTTTATAGGTGAAGAATTGATTGACGACACAGGTCTGCTTAATAACAATGACGTGTCAAAAATGGACGAAACACTGGGAAAGCTTGATAAAGATGACGACACTTTTCCAGTAGGAAATAGTGTTGTGGAGTCACAAGGTATATTTGTCTAAAATTTGTTTATTTCGCAATATGAAAAACAGTTTTACATTGTAGCTAATATAGTAATATATATCAGTGAAACCTAGGTTTTCCTACTAACGTAAAAGTGGTCGTTAAAGACAGTGTGTTATAAAGCAGGTTTGTGAATGACGGCATGAATTTGAATTTTTTTATACTCATCCATATTATATATATGATGAAATTTCAATACATTGGTAACGATAATTAATAACTTATTATTTTTTTAAGATAGAAAAATAACTTTTTATGAAAGCATTTGTATTATAGTTATACATGCACGCGTGATGGTGGGGAAGTCGTTACTTTGGATTATTTTGATTCTGCGTGCTTTTTCTTTGCCTTCTCGCACTTTCAATGTTTATAAAAGTGTGGCGTCAAAAGTTTCAGGCCTCAAGCCTCAAAGTCATTCTTTTGTAAATGAAAACCAAATCTCTTGACAAATTTCTTGTCGGTTAGAACTTAGAAAGCCTTGTGTAGGTGTTTAATTCTTTTTGAACAATGCATGGAACAAAAAAGCTGTGTATTGTGTGTCGTTTCTAAACACAATTGAAAACTAGTGCTAACGCTAATTTGTACCATATAGGCAATGCTGAGTTCGTTAATAATGAGCCAGATGCAATTAAAGCTATTTTAAGAGATTGTGTTGAACCAACAAAAACAAAATGCAATAAGGAAACTGGGGGAAAACAAAGACTTCAAAAGTGGTCAAGAGGGCATTTGTTTATAGTTAGAGGAGGAGGAAGAATCGATAAATGGAGTCCTCTTTATAGGTAAGCAAAGAGAATGCTTGACAAAAGCGCATCTTCAGAAAAACT